TGCATCCCTGTTATTCAGCCATTTAATCATTCTTCACCACAACAAAACTCCTGGTTTCAGCAGCTTTACCTGAAAAAAAATTTGCAGAATTTAATCCTAGGCAAATACTACTACAACAGGGGATAGCTAAGTGTCCCACCAAAAAAAAAAAAAAAAAAAAAAAAGGCCGTTACACAAGCCCTGCCAGTTTTATCTTGGTATGGTGGTAACTGGAGTCGACCAAAGCCTGGAGTACTGAGAGTGGTGTGTTCATCCTTAACAAAGCCAGCCTAAGTTGGTCCCTTGTTTGTGTGTATAGTAACCAGCCCAAAACAGATCAAGTAAAGGCAGCCCTGCTGTAAAACTTCTAGATCGGTAAATTAAGACCATCACATTCTTTGCTCTATAAAAAGCCCCATGGAATTAGTTCAAGATCTCTTTCCTTGCCATAAGGAAAAAATAGCAGATGGCATTGAGTCCTTCTTTGAGCAACTGGCTGAGAAATGGCCGAGGGACCACGGGAGGTAAGACAACACCCTGTGGCAGGGCAGAGGGCTCCGCAGCGAAGAGGTAAAATTATTCCCAAGCTTTGAGGGAGTTCAGATGAGAGTTCAGCTTTAATGACTTCTTTCTGAAGGGAGCAGCAGATCTCCAAACAGGCAGGGGGAGTAAGCACATGAGAAAGAGGTGGCACCAAGGGGAAAACCTGTCCCTGTTAAAAACAGTGCTGTCCAAATACAGACAACAAAGATTATTGAGGAAATTCAGAGTAAAATAATCCCTTGAAGGCAAACAGCTTCAGATTTTGAAAAATTAACTACAAAAGGCTTGAAGACATCCCCAAAACTCATTGCTGAGGGGAGCAGAAGCGTGTGGCTTCGTAACAAAACAGAAGTTAATCAGCTGCAAGAAAAAAAATCCATGGGTGTTTTATATTGCCACTGCTGTATGTGAATACAAGGACAAAGGATCTGGTTCACCCGTGCCTTCACGCAGTCAAACGCACTTTTCACATCCAGCGGTACCAGGTGGTGTGACTCTGCCCTCCCGCTGCAGTTGTACCTCTCTAACCCATCTCCTCATGCACGTGCGTGGTGCCTAAATGACCCCTGTTCATTTACATAATGGGTCTTTCGGACACATATGAAGCTGGACAAAAACCTCAACAAGGAAGTTATGAAGGGGGAAAAAAAAAAAAAACAAAACAAAACACCAAACTGCTACTTCTGGTATTAGAGCATGTGCTTAAATAACACCCCAGGGCCCTTTACTTAAAGAGAAGGGAAGGTCCTGGTCAGATCACCCAAAGCCACGTTTTGCCTTACCTGCCTGGTTGCTGTTCCTGCGAGGCAGGAAGAGCACTTGCTCCACAGATCCCACAGGAGGACGCAGAAAAGTACAGAGCGCTTGTGTTCTCGCACAGACGGGGCTCTTCGGCTGAATCCAGAGAAGCCTGCACCGCAGAGGATGCTCAGATGACAGAAACAAACACTCAGTTGATAGTCCCGTTCCTCGCCGCCTTGGCTCTCGCAGCCAGCCCCGGGGACACAGCACGGGGTCCCCCACGGCTCTGCTGCCCGGCGGCAGCGCTCGCACTGCCAGGGCAGGGCAGGGCAGACGTTAAACACGCAACACGCGGCTTAACGGCAGGCGGGAGCCGCTGGCGAGGCTCAGCGTAACATCTCAGAGCACTTGTTCTTCCGTGCTCCTGAACACAAAGACAGTAGCACATTTTTAAATAATTACTTATCTGGCAACACGGTGCTTCGCTCCCTTTGAGGTGTGTGCCGTCTCCCTGTATGTGCAAACGACATTAAACCCGATTAACTTAATACGCAACATTAATTGAAGAAAAACAAGAATGCTTTTGTCAAGCACTGGAGGGGGCTGCCCAAGGGAGCGGTTGTGTCATCATTCCTGAGTCACCTCAGCTAGGTGAGCAAAAGATGGCCTGTACCGAGGAGAAAGGATTTTTCATTTTAAAAATAATGAAAACAGCGGGTTTAAGTTTGAAGAGCACATTCTGTGTGGCTGTACACCCTCAACTGCCACTAATTAGGAAGGCCACCAGTATTACCTTTGGGTATTAATGACTTTAAGCTGAGGATTCATCTCACAGCCATACGGAATACAAAGAAAAAAAAGGCCAAACACTGAAGATGCTAACCTGGCACAAACTTCACCTTGCAGTTTATACTTCAGCAAACAGCACAGGCCCTGTCAACACCATGCTGTAGACATTCAGCTGGCTGCTGACAGCACTTAAGAAATCCCTGTGATTTGGAGAATGCAAACATGCTTTCCACATCCAGAAAAGTCTGGCAGATGCCTCCAGCAATAAGGATGAGGAGAATCTGCTCTAGAACTGGGAATGTGCCATTCTTTGTCAGTCACTCACCAGGCCACCCAGGACCTCTGGCAAATCCTGCAGGAGCTCCGCGACCCTGAATGATTTAAGCGAAGACTTGAGTCGCACACTGAACATGTGAGATAAACTCCGAATTCCCAGAGTGGAAAAACAACGTTCCTTTTTTGATGTTTTTTTTTTTTTTTTTTTCTTCTCCTTATAAAAACACAACAGTCCCTTTATGGTTTTGATTACTTGATATGGTTTGCAAAGGTATTTTTATATAGCTGTCTCTGGCACCGTTAAGATCCCTCTCCTAGGTGGTACTGAGTTAGAGGCCATGCCTCCGTATTACGTTATAATTGTCAGCACAATTTCATTTATCATTTTATCACCTCTCATAATGTGTCAGAGATCGCTTTGGAACTCTTCAGCTTATTTTTGTTTTCACTATCTTGAATAATTCTACATCACTGTCACCACACCGTTTTCTTCACTTTCTGTTAGTTTTTAGCAATACACTCGGTAGCACAGCTCTCCATGGGACATTGTAAACCTGACTATTTATTGCCTCCTTGCTCTTAACAAATTATTAAACCAAAAGATAACTCCCCCTTCTTATTCCAGCAAAGCTTAATTTCTGTAAGGAATTTTAGTGAGTGACCTTATCAAAAGCCTGTGGAAATCCATGCCCACTGTATGAACTGGAGGACCCTGGACTACATGTTTGTAGACACTTTCAAAGGACATACAAAACCTCCTTCCTTTTCCACCCTACCTATCCCAGGCTACCGTTCCTCTCAGTTTAACTAGCACAGATGTCAGACGACCTGGCCCACTGTTCACTAGGTCCCTCCGAGACCCCCTCAGAAATACGCCTCACATCTGTACAATTCCCTGTGCTCTGGCATCAAGCCTACGCTCAGCAGCAGGCACCACGCTCTGGTTTGGAGCTGGTAATTTCACTGCAGAGTTCTAGTTCTGCGTAATTACCATCTGGTCCTGGAGATCTGTCATTATTAACTTCATTGATAAGAATATCTTAACTTTTCTGGGTCAACTTTGCCTTCTTTTGGCACAAATCTGGTAGGCTTCTTGCTCTTGATGGGTTCAGGGAAGACTGTAACATTTTCATAGCCATTTCTCACAATCTTTTAATTAAGGTTTTAACAATTTTACATTATTTTACATCAAACTTGCTACAATTAACATCAGAGGAACTTTTAAATTTGTTTTAAATTGAAATCACTCTATAAACAAATAACAGTAATTTAGTTGTAGTCTGAAGAGGATGCTACTACTGAGTTCAGCAACAGGCAGAGTTCAGAAGAATGCTCTTTCCAGCATTCCTGGTAGTTTGATAGCACTAAAAAGGAAGAAGACCCACACCACCAATTAGGTTTCATATAGCGAGACCTAAAATCCCCCAAACCCAAGCCACACAACTCATATTAAAAATAAACACATTCTAAAAATATTAGAAGTTTATTTCATTGCATTTGGCAGCCTGTTGCATTTTGTCTTCCACAAATGGTCTAGATGGCAAAATTCCCACGAGTGTTTACAGAAACAGAAAAAAAAAAAGGAGTAATTCAGAGCTTTGTGGAGCTGGATGTTGAGTTAGTAATTCAAAAATTGCCCTTTTACACATCGAACTGAGGTGCTGTACTCCCATCAGCCCGCCTATTCACAGAAGTCTGGAGAAATTTTAATTCCATGGGGCCACACCTCCAGACAACAGTAATTTGCAATGTTAAACAAGAAATGTTTGGAGATAGACTGTAGCACAAAGAAGCATTTATAGAAATTATATAGTAAATGAATGTCAACAACAGCTACATTTCAGAGATTCCTATGCCACTTACAAACAAGAAACAAAGCCATACCGACATAATTTGTAAATAAGCCATAACACTGTCCCTACAGTTGCCATCCTTCTTAGCTGCTTACACAAGAGACAAAGTAGAGTGAGCCAGTTCTTCTGATGCGATTTAAAAAAGCTATTTATGTTCAGCATCAATCCCACTGCCAACGCTTACGACAGAACTTTTGACAGCAGCACCAGTCTGAGCTACATTCAGCCCCGGTGACAAACGCAATAAATATGACAGCAGGAACGTGCCTGCTAAAAAGACCATGTCTTTAAAAAAGGTATGGCAGTCATTCCAACGGCAGCATATCTGCCTTTTTCTTTCTAATAACAGCTACTGACCTAGCTCAGGAACACTCATTTGCACTGCTCGTAAAGTCAGGCGGTTCTGAATTGCAATGTTTATGATATCAACTTAATACCATTAATATCTTAATACTAGTTCCCAAGTATTATTTTTTTAAAAAAAGAAGTGTCTTTTATCGATCAAATCTCAGAGGAAAGAAACTGGTGAGCATTTGAATGAACAGCCAAGTGTTTCCTGTAGTTGGTGTGACTACTAGAGACACGCAGCGGCTACGGTGTGAAATACACACCCGGAGTGACAGAAAAGGCTCATTTTTTCCTTTGCCACTCCTCAAAACAAAGGCTGTTCATCCAAAGATGCAAATGTCTATAAATTAAGTTAAAAATCTCCATTCTCCTTGCCCCCCGCCTTATTTCTATTGCTAACCTTTAGCTGTTCATTATTAGCCGGGGGTTGTTTTCTAGCTTTATGACTTTTAAATTTTTTCTACCCTCTAGTTGGATTTCTTTTTACAGAATCTTTTCCAAGATGGGGAAGGGAGGGCAGAAGGGCAGCGAAGCGGTAAGTGGCATATAAAACTCTCAAATTCTTGAAATGTGTAAGGAACGCATACTTGGTTCATCTCCAACATCTACAATATCCATCTGTTCTAAAACAAGCAACTGCAAGATTTTCTGATCAAAGTGTGATTTTCATGTGTGCACTCTCTCTTTCAGTAGATGGAATATTTCCGACGGTTACAACCTGCACTAAAGGCGATGGTAAAGCTGTTATTTCCTCAGGACTGTCGGTTCCCCCTGCTCGCCGCGACCCAGGGCAGGGGAGGGTACCCAGAGCTCACCCAGGCAAGGAAGACTTGACCTTTCCCGGGCAGTAGGAGCTTCGTGAACTTCTCTCTGCATTTGGGCTACTGCCAAGTGGCCCCACACGTTATCCACCGGCTAGTTTGCTCACGGTGAGTTGTTCGTGTGGGTCAGCTCTGCAGACCGTAAGGCGAACGTAGGGAACATTGAACCTGCAAAAACAGAACGAGAGGTTGGAGGAAGCAGGAACTTTGTATTTCCGAAGGTCCGTACGCCTGGGACTTCAAAGCCCAAGAGTGTTTTTGTTTTGCACTGCAAACGTGGAGGAGTTTAGTGTAACATAGTAAGTTCTTTGAGCGCTGCCTGGTAATGTTACTCTAAATAGCCTGCAAGCCGACTGGCCGGAGCAGAGTTATTCCTCCCAGGTGCGTGCCTGTATAAAAACCTCTGGAGGGTGCATCCGCCCACAGGAAACCTCCAGCACCCTCTGCCACAGCAGGTACCCGCACAGCCGCCCTGCTAACCCCGACTGGCCTGCCTCCGTGCTCTCTGCCAACTAACAAAGGGAATACATTTGCCCGAATTCTTTGATTTCAGGTCAGCCGTGTTAGCCAATGCAATCCAGCTTACCTAACCCCTACTATTTCACAATGAGTCATTTCTTGTTTTCAGTAGTTGGATGCGTGTACCTGGTGGACTCAAATATCATACAGCTTTACTGCAATGATGTTCCTAACACTGACATTTCCTTTATTTCCTAGCATTTATACTAATTTTTTCCTTTTTTTTTTTTTTTTTTAAATTTAGTGCATGATAACGTGAGAAAATTGCATGAGCTCTAGGAAACATGGGTGTTTGTATATGGTACGAGCGTATGGCCAAGCCCTGTCCCACAAAGAACATACTGCAACTGCATTTCCCATGTGAGCAAATGGAATTGGATTTTGCCCACATAGTTCAGACTGTGCTGTGCAACTTTGTGCAGAGGTGTGAGAAACATCTCAGCAGAGTTGTGTCCACAGCTGAAGACCCAATGACACAGTACTGCTCACTAACCTACTTTTTTTTGGCCATGTAGCTAGATTTGAAAAGCTCTAAGCAATGAACTTTAGAAGCTTAAGAGACACAAGGTTTATTTTTATAGGGGATAAACTGTTACCTTAAGGTTTATCATCATCTTACAGTTTGCCCGTTGGTGTTTAATTATCTTGTTAATTTTATGTGGCATTGTCAAATCAACATAATTTTGTGAGTTATTCTTTCTTCCTTAGTTTCCGAAGAAGTCACAAATGATTTTGTAAATTACTTTGTTTGCAACAGTTTAAGACTATCAATGAAGTCAATACTGGTTTGAAAAACTTTGGAAAGGATGGAATTTAGATGATTATTTCCCATCAGGATCATTTGGGAAAGAAATTGTCTGCTAACATTCAGAAAGAGCCAGCATTTCCTAAGGGAACAGATTTTGGTTGCAATACTATTAAATCAAAATTCTTTTAGAGATATATAGTTTTCAGTAAAATATGGATCAGAAAAATGTCAAAATAGTTAGAAATACCAGGTTTTACCATTCTAGAAACACAGCAGCAACTTGACCATACTACAGATAGGGCATGAAATAATGCAAACAGCACATATTTGCAAATAGCTTACTCAATACTCACTTGCGTTTGCAGTCTTCAGGTACAGTCTGTCATTTTAAATGATAAAATAAAGCCATGCATTGTTAAGGCCAAGATGCTCATATACTTGAATTCTTGAAATTACAAGATGAAACCTGTCCTGTAGTTTGCAGCTAAAAAAAAAGCCTTTAAAATCCATTTTATGAAATATATAATTTAATAGTTATGGAAGTAGGATATTTCTATATATATAAAAGTAATATAAAATATATATTTAAATAGACATCATACATATAATTATATAAAATAACTATATAAAATTATATATAATAATATATAGTTAAACAACAATTATATAATTATATTATATGATATAATTATATGGTATTATATTGTATAATCATACAATACATACCTACATATTTATATTGCATAATTCTATAGTATTATATAATTATATAATATTAATTATATAGAAATTATATCGGATATTATTTATATTTAGTATATAGGATGCTTATAGGATTTTATATATATATCTTTTTATATATGTCTATATCTATATAAAAAAAACCCTTTCTGTTTAGCATAACCTACACCTGTGAAATATATTTATATTATTCTAACACCTAGAAGCCCCAGCCATAAACCAGAGCTCAGTATCTCAGGTGACACAGAAATGCAGAGTGCAGAATCATTATCCCCTGAATTTACCATCTAAGAGTAGAGGCAGCCGATGGACTTAAGGACCACATCAGTCTCATCACAGTACTAGTGTAACCATGAGGTGTTTTTTAGACCTCCTGATCATTTTAAGAAGGGATTTAATAAAAACAGCTAAAGGTCTTTATAAATATTTAAGCAGACTCCTATTTTAGAGTAGCTCAAAGGACAAAACGAGAGAAAACATAATGATTTGTCATTTGAAAACGTAATATAACATGTCTAATTGCATTTAGAATTCAGTCTGTACTGAAGGAGTGATAACAGGGTGTATATATACCATGATCAGAGATGCAGTTGTATTTACTGCAAGCACTTAATGCTGGATCAACAGACATATTTACTGAGCATGTTTCCAGGATATTTTCTGGTATTCACTGCTACCCACAGCCAACTGAAATTCTGACCTGTTGCAGTAAGAACTTGTCTGAGCAAAGAAAAAAGTACAGAAGGATCACTTTCTACCCAGACTGACAAATTAAAGAGCCTCCTCATTAAACAAGCCCTTCTATTTTTTTTACATAAAGGAATACTGGGCAAGGCAAAGTTTCCTCCTGCTTTGCAACTTCAGGATTGGCTTTTCACTTAAATAGCACAAATTTCATGCTACAAGAGCCTTCCCAAAAAAACAAACAAAAAAACCTCACAACACCTCCCCTCCCCCAATTTGAAAATGTAGTGCTTTGCATGTTTAAACATGAAATGTTCAGAGGACTGGGTCTTCAAGCAAGTGTTCTCCTGGCTGTAGCCATGACCAGTGCTGACAGATTCTTCTCTTTTCATTACGCACCTTCCCAATTACACAAGTTCTACTATATTTTCCCAGAGATTTCTTAAAACATTAAAACATGACCAGATTTTTTCCTAGCTCAAGGCATGAAAAAGAGGCATTGCTGAAAACTGGAAGTGTACTTTCGACTACATGAGAAACCATTGCTGTTGTAAAGAGGTACATTTTCACAAGTAAAATGTGAACATGGATGCATTCATTCCTATGTCAGGGAATGCAGTAACTACAGCATTAACTTCAGCCTCTCACATACCATCACCATACCTCAAATTATACACAAAAGGTGCATAGCCAGAACTTGTTCCTAGCTAGATGGAGGCCCTCTGAGGGAAAAAAAAAAAAAAAATTTAAAAAAACCTACATCTGCAGAAATCAATGTACTTTAAAGCACTCTCTTTTCTGAAAGAGTACAAAATCACTGCCACGACTGAACAAATGCAGTCTCAGAAGAGTTAGAACACAAATCCTGTCCTTGTGATTAAACAGAGCAGCAATAAGGAATATACCAGGTATCATTAAAACTTCAACGGTGTCAATATCATGTGTGCAAACAAACTACCCACACAAGTCAGCAGCCACTCTGCTCCTTAAAAAACTACCTGCAGGCATTGCTGAGCCTCCTGGCTGCTGCCAAACCTCTCCCCACCCTCTCCCGTACATCCAGGCTACCTCTAACAGCCTCCTGCAGTATGTGCAACCGAAATTATGCACCGCTTTGTCTGCAGTGCATGTGGCTGGAGAGAGCAAACACAGGCGCATTCGCAAGAATGAGCAGAATAAGGCCAACCATGGATGAAAGCGTAGCACACTCCAGCCATCATGATACGTGGGAAGGGTGAACTTGTACATGCAGCTTCTGGCCAGAGCAAGTTATAAACCGTTTTTAGGGGTAAGCATATACATAGGTGCTATCACTGATTAACTCCAGTTAAGCAAAAAGTTTCAGTGGCACATTTCTCCCCAGGCAAATTTCAATCCAATCTCACTCCTGCTTTCACTGCTTGTTAGCTGGTATTAAGCAGCTCCTTCTTATGTCGGGTGCTGCCCTGCATGCTGAAGATGCACAGTTATGCATAACACACACACACAGAGTTCTCCAAAAAAGCTTACCGAGTCAGACTTCTCACTGCAATTACCTCCTGGCAGCAATCTGCATACTCTGCAGTTCACTACATTTCCAGGTAATTCAATTAGCTGTTCTGCAGGAAAAGGCAGAGAAGGCAACTGTATACAAGGAGACAAAATCTAGAGCGCTGGCTGCAGCAAATTGCAGGAATGCCAAGTCCCAAGTTCTTTGGGAAATGGTAAATCACACAGATAAAAAGTCATAGATGTTAAAAGACAGTTCATCTTTTTCAGCTGCTGATTCAACTGACACAAGTACCATGCAAGTAGCTCGCTTTTCAGACTGATTAGTGGCATCAGTTCAGTGACATCATGCTAAGATTTTGCATAAATGATAAAATAAACATGATTAAATGATATTATAAATACAATAAAATAAGAACTTTTGCCAGTATTACTGCATTACCAGAAAGTGCTCACAGCAATTTTCAGTGGAGGATGTCACCTCTCATCACAGCTTCCTGTCCTTTCAGCCCATCATTGAAAAAACCCAAACCCAAAGCCCACCAAACTACTCCCTGTCTTCCTCCAGTCATCTCTCATACAGAGTGCCCACAAGCTTTTATGACATTATTCTTCCCCTTCCATTTCAGCTTTTTTGCCATGATCTCTGCACAGCAGCCACCATTCCCCAACAAAATCCCAAGAGTAATGGACTGCCAAACTGAGGAAGAAGAAACCTGTGAAGAACAGTATGACTCTGAAAACTGCACTTGCAGCTCCAAGCATGCATCACCAACAGCAGAATGCAACTCAGGTTTAATCCAGTTTAAATACCGCAGTGGCTATGGCATGCTAGCATTTTATACTTTCATTTTTCTCAGTCTTCAAGTAATAGATATCACCACAGCACTTTTCCTTTTATCTTCATTTTTTTTTTTCCAACCATTTCCCCTTATGTTTGTATTTATCAGAACAAATCTAAAAAAAAAAGACTATCACCATAATTATGAAGTATGTTTAAAAAGGTCTCTGGATTTTATTTAGACATCTAAGAATTATTTCTCAACTACAGTCAGAGATTAGATTGTCATATGCATTAATGGGGCTGGCACTGCTGAAGCCATGGTATTACAGATTTTAACAGGCTGAACTGCTGAAACAGCTACCAAGGATTCCAGGCAGGCATCAACTGAAATCCATGCAAGCCGGAGCAAAATGTTTCTTCGCAGTTAATTTTGTATCATCTATGCATATCCTGCTAACAGGCTTCCAAGAATAGCGCAGTCATTCAGAACAGTGTCCTTGTTTTCAGTGAGATCAGAGGGAGGAGTTCAGCAAAGCTCTCCTGACAGATCTCACCTATGAGCCTAATTGCTGTGACGAGACACGCTAGCACAACTGTAGCACAACTGACTTGCTGAGCAGCAACGTATATGCCAACACAAAGAGTATCTTACAATCCTCCTCTTGCGGAAGAATGATTGAAAGATACCCACTAAAAAGAGCTAGGTTTTCGTCAGTGTAAGAGGTAAATCCCGAATCCTTCTTTTGTACAAGGAAGCTTAATGTTCTAGATCTGTTGGCCCCACAAATGAAACCTACAGCACAAACCCCTACACGACATCCTCTGGCACAGTGTGAACTACAGCACACCCCAAAACACAAGCTAACTTGGTCCTGAAAGTCTCCCAGCTGTTATGAGCAGAGTTATATATTTGAATTAGTAGATTTTTCTAAAAGGCTCATCTCTATTTGTAAATTGCCCATGCAAACACTCAGAATGGCAGGAAAATTACCATTGCTCCTTTCACTCCCTGGCCAGCCAGATCATCCACTTCTGGACAGCATTACACTCAAGCAAGGCCAATGGTCTACATACTATTTTTGCAAAATTCTTTTTACCCTTTAACAAGTTGTACATAAACACCTTTGTATAAAAATACATTTTTTGTCTTTTTCTCTCACAGATTCACCAGCAATTCTTAAAATACTACAGAACTGGGCTCCTCGAGTTTCGCACTGCTTTGATAAAGAGCACTACACGTACGCTGGCCACCAGATCGTCATTCAGGAGTCCATCGAACACTTTGGAGCCGTGGTATGGCCGGGGGTAAGTACGGGACACGGCACCCAGAAAAGCTGACACGACCGAAGAGGAAACCATGACAGCGACACACAAACATTAAGGAAGTTTTCTTCGATGACACTTACGACAGCAGAGGCTTCCCTATGCTGAACGAAGTCGTGGAGTACTCTGGCAGAAAGCTCTGCCTTCTGCTAACTTGCCAGTTCACGTCAAAGCAACTGTGGCACCTGAGTTTTCATAAATTGGATTCAGATATTGAAAAAAATTGAGAAAGGGAACTCGGGAAGAAGTGTTCAGCTTCCTCCGTGTTTCCAATCAGTCAGTGCTGGGAGGTAAATAATCAACAGTACTAGGAGGAGGCTGAAAAGGAAAATTGTGAGACGCTAAATAAAGGAGATTAAAACAATTAAATATACTACTTTTAAATAACAGGTTGGAACAATTCCATTGCAGTACAGAAAATCGTACTTGCAAACAGTTGTTCTTCAGTCTTTGCTTCTCCTGCCCTTAAAAACTGCCTCCGAGGGATGAGAGGGTCAAGTGATAAAGACATGAAAATTAGGATTTCAAAATTTTTCAGATCCACATTTATTGAAAAAGTTCACAGAAAATGGAAGACAATTTGAAAACAATAAATAAAAAGAAAGTATGTGGGTGCATGAAACAGTATCTTATATTTTGAAATGTCAGATCATCAGTTCTCACACTAATCAGGTGTCAGAATACAGATGGTAAAACTTCCCAAGAAAAATCAAGAGGTTACACAAATTGGACCGGTGATTCATTAGCTGTCAGCTTTCCCAGAGCAGAGAGCCAGTGCTGCATATGAAAAGCACAAGAGTTAAAACAGTAACAGTAGCACAATTCTAAAGAGGAGAAGCAGAAGGGGGAAGTTAATTTCTTTGGCATTATTTTACGTTGTTTATCAACAGCAGATTTATATTCTATTAATAAGATCTTTACAAAGATCCTTATAAGCAATACTTCCATACCATGTTGTTGTTTTTTGTTGGGTTTTTGGTGTTTTGTTTTTTTTTTTTTTTTTTTTAAAAAGTTTATACTATTGTCAATAGACAAATATTGAGTTGTTAAATAATAGATTTTTAATATTTCCCTTGCAAAACAAATTAAAACAAACAAAAATCAGTTATAAAAAAAAAATCTCTGCTGAAGCCTGAATCTACTTTATGATAGTGATAATAAAAAGTAACATTTATTATAATCAACCGGAACATTACTTTTTACATATTGTTAAACCTCATTTGTTGTTCTGACTGTATGGTTCACATCTCAACACTGCCTACCTTGAGCTGTTAAAGGACTTACAGGGTATAGAAGTGTGTAGCAAATCCATAGCCCATAAACCTAAAACTAACAATAAGCTGCTTGCTTTTTTTTTTTTTTTTTATATATAAAAAACGGGACACATCATAAATCTTTCCATATTACATTCTTATGTTACAACCTTCAGTGTTTTTCACTGTATAAAAAAACCAACCAACCAACCAACAAACCCCCTGTATAAAAACACCTAATGAATTTTTGTGCAACTTACCTGTTACTCTCTTACGAATATGTGTTAACTATTTTAGGCACTGGCTTTATCTCAGTATCTGGAATCAAATCAAGAACAATTCAACCTCAAAGACAAAAAAGTTTTGGAAATTGGAGCTGGAACAGGCTTGGTTTCCATTGTGGCTTGTATCTTAGGTTAGTAAATTCGTATTTCCTTTTGGATTTCTTGTGAAAGATTATCTAGATCTGCCACTGTCACTTTAAGGCCATGAAGCGACAGCTGAAGCAGACTTTGTTTGTCACTGGTTTCTAAGAAAATTAAAATTACTGTAAAATACTGTTTTGCTAGTTATTGGTGAAGAGGAAGCTGGGAAAGTTATGCAGATAAAGTTTTATATGTATGTTCAACTACATACCTATGAATTGAAATGAATTCATGTTTTCTTTAGGAGCTTACGTTACAGCTACTGATTTGCCTGAAGTTCTTGAAAACCTCTCATATAATATTTCAAGGAATACACAAAACATGAATGTGCACAAGCCTGAAGTGAGAAAACTGGTATGGGGAGAAGGCCTCAATGAAGACTTTCCTCTGACAACTTACCATTATGATTTCATACTGGCCAGTGATGTTGTATACCATCATGCAGCTTTGGACTCCCTGCTAGCAACAATGGTGTATTTTTGTAAGCCAGGAACAGTACTACTATGGGCAAACAAATTCAGATTCAGCACAGACTATGAATTTTTGGAAAAACTTTGTGATGTATTTAACACAACCATTCTAGCAGAATTCCCAGAATCACATGTCAAGCTGCTTAAAGCCACAGTAAGAGAGAATTAAAGAGAAAACTATTACTGATTTTCATTTCGTGGCAGCACCTTAGTTTGGAATGTTTTGCAGCATTACGGTGCACCTTCTGTGCATGTCTGCTTGTAAAGTTGCACCTGCAGCCGAGTTTTGCATTACAAGTTATGAAAAAACTGGCAAGACAAATGGTTTACCAATTTGTCTCTGGTTGATACACATGACCCGTTCAAACAGACCAATTCCACTCCACTGAAGGAACAACGTTAGTAGCAATAGTCAGTAAAAAGGCTTTAAGAGAAAACATTGATCATCTGGGCTGCACTGAGTTTGTGCTGTTTGTAAGGCGCTTTCTCTCAGCAAGTTTATTTTCTGTACTCTTTCAGAAACCAATACAATTTTTAGCTTCATTATTTGTTTTTATTAATTATAAAATAATCTTTTAAAGTATCAGAGTGCACATGGTGGTTTTTGATCTTCAGCTTTGCACATTTATTCTGCTGTGTTTTACATTTTTAACATTATTAAACATATATGTATAGCTTTACAATACCTGATCAAAACTTAACTGTCTGGCACTTTTATACATGTATCAGCCTGTCCCGATACTCAACTTTGCATGGATTTTTGAGTTTGACTGAAATCACTCCAAAATGAAGATTTACAAGAGCACCTATGCATCAGCAATTCCGAGTTACACACTGTAACAGTTTGAGAGGTTGAATTTTTATTAAAAAAAATTAAATGTAAACTCTTGCAAACAATACAGGTAATGATGTCCTGTTACTTTAGTCTAATAAATAAGATTTTAGCTACTCTTGAAGTAGCTTTAAGGCCTTCATATAATTGAAATTAAGATCAAACATGTTAAAATTCAGTTTACTGTAAAAAATACGGAGCTTTTACAGGTTTGCAGTTAAAAGTAACAGTTAAGAACCTAACATGCATGCAGTAAGCCTTTCCAGCCTAATTCCAAATCCTTAGTGTTGGCAGTTCTGGCACATCCATTGCCAGCAATGGGATGCACAATAAGGGAACTCCCTGCTGACAGGAGTTAGGTTAACAGGTATTAAGCCGTACCGAGGTGCCTTTACCGATAAATACACACAATTTAATAATCAGCATTCAGTAATGAAAACATGCGTTCCAATAAAAAGTCAAACTTATCTTTTCGTATCCTGCCCCATATAAAAATCACTTTGAGTTTACAATTGTTGGTTGTCTAGAATACGCAATAATCAGGTGGATACATGACAGGAAGCCAATTTTCAGTGAAAGTTGCACAATGAGTCCATCCAAGCAACTTCATTAGCTGAAGATAAAAAGCAAACATTAAACAAAGAATTAGAAGCTCTAGTGTTTTATTCTTTTTAAGATCTAAATCCTTGCAACAAACACTGCATTGATACCAACATCTTACTACAGATGTCTATTATCAGAAAGCAAACAGACTGGAGAACTCGTGACCTTTGAATTAATTACTTAGTCCTGAAAGGCATAAAAGAAAATAATTCTATATGCTCTACAGTCCTTCAACTCAATGCACAAAAAATTTGTCCTAGGAGTTACAGTAATTCCCATTAAGTCTCCACTTATATTCTACTAGAAATAATTGTGATTAATAACAGTAAAAATAACAGCGGTTAAACAGCAACATAATGGGATTTTAAATATGCAGAAGAACTTTGGCTAAGTTGTCTCTACTTTCTCTACGCCCCAAAGTAAGTTCCAGAAAGTAGATCTGCTAAAAATGAGTTACTCACAAACTAGCTATTCTAGAAAAAGAAATAATAAAATCACTATTAAAAATGGAGGCCAAGCCACAAAAGCCTGGATAAAGGTAAAATGTTACATTTAGTGAGTTCTACAATATAAAAGCTATCAAAAATTCAAAAAGACTTATATCTTACTTTTAAAAGTTTATTCAGTGTGAACATAGCTCATTTCTTTACCAAATATACCTTACCTGAATGCAGTTTTTCAAATTGTCCTTCGTTGGCTTCTCTTCTGCAAGTTTTGTGGCAAACTTGAGACCTCTCCCATACATTTTATTTACCAATGCATGCTTATAAGCAAAAGACAAAACCTACAATGTGAAAACATAGCCAAATTAGATATTTTAATATTTTAATTTTACAAGGCTTAACAAGTAATAGCAGATTCTGTTCAGGTAGCAGAAGTGACTTAAACAAAGTAAAACATTTACACAAGATAGCTTGGATTTTTCTTTTCAGTAAAACAGATGATTCACAGTAGTAGTTATAAACATGAACTTCCTAGAGACTACTTCTGACTTCATGAACATATTTGACTTCATAACATCTTATGTAACACAGATGTCACTGTTCTAATTTTTTATTCATCACATTTCTAGCTTCTTTGGATTTTCTAAAGGCAACTGTATGGTATTAAAAAAAAAAAATAAATAAATCAAGAACCAGACAGGTATATCTTTGACCCACAGAAACAAAGACCCAATTGAGAGTTTTGATTCCTAGGAAGTCACAAACTTACTGCAGAAACAAGTATGAATGTACCTAGCGAATGATATACACACACACACACACACACACACACACACACACACACAGAAAGGCACATAATTATAAACAAGCAATGAAGACAGGTAAGCATGAAGACAAGCCTAAGGTTTTGGGTCAGCTCCTCACTATTGGTAATTTATTAACAAGGGATTATAAAAAAAGCTTCCTCTTGATCATATTAATTCTAAATAGACAGCTTACAATACTTTTCAATGCTCTAACGCGTGCAAGTGAATGTGTCTACTTAAGACCTAATGTGAAATATATCAGGTTCTTAACACCCAAACACTGACAGCATTCAGGGTGTTGCAAATAATTCATACCACTTCACCAGCTACAGCACTAAGAATTAGTGCAATCAAAACATTGTTTCATATATTCCCCTTGAAGCATTCATAGTAAACAGCTTTTCTTTTATTTTTATTTTTTTTACTGAAGAGTGACATAGCAGCAAAGTTAGTGAATATGGTGGTGTTTTTGTTGTTGGCAGTTTATGAAATACCGTATTAGAGTTTGCGATTAATTTCCCCTCACTCATCACAGTATTTTTCCTTTGACTCCTCCAACAAAAGTTACATTTTCCCTATGTCCACTTAAAATATACCATTAAGAAAATCTAACAAAAACACCTCAAGGACATTTAGAAATAAGTATTTTGCATTGCAGAAAAAAAAATTAAATATTTCTTAAGAATATAAACATTGAGGAATCCTATATCCAAATCCTGCAAGGACTGAAGAACCTGCCTAATTTTAGCAGCCTGAACACTTCCATTGAACGTTAATCAAACATACAAGTCTCTGCAGGATCAATACTTAAAAGACTGAGCTAAAAAAACCAGAAAGAACATGCTTAATGATCAAGCAAGTAAAGGTGTAAATCTGAAGCTCTAAACTATGTGCCGAGCACTTAGAGTTGCTCATTCTTCTTCTGCAAAGTCCTTATTTTATTGTGTTGAAGTATTCATTTAAGCTGTTGTAGCTTAAAACACACACATATATGCAACAATGAGCATACAGCACCATTCACATATAGATTTTCCAAATATTGCTATTGGAAAAATACTTTGCATGCTGCATTCTCAATTCAAATATTTTTGGATATTTTCCTAAAGCAAAACACATTAGCAAACACTTCTGAATAATTGTTCAGTGGATTCATTAGCAGATTTAGTTGGTTAAACTAAAACAAAACAAAAAAATTAAAAAATCCCTTCTGTAAAATATGATAGAACTACAAAACCAAACCAAACCAAAAAAATAAAATGAAAAATGCACTGGAGCTCTCAGCAAATATAACATATTGGAGGCTAACCAGAAATAATGTCACTGCTCTATTAAGAAAGCTCTTACCTGGCCCTGTAAGTTTTGAATGGTTATTGAACATCAGTGATAAAGGCAGGAGGAAAGCCACTTGACAGCATTTCTTTCGTAACAGGGCTTCCTAGAGTTTTTGTGGCAAGAAAACAAAGCATTTTACGAAACACCCTTGTTCTGGCCAAATAAAAGTCTGGGTATTTCTAAATGAGAAAGAAGTTCTCTGCTGGACCAAAAGGTTGAAAACAATGGTCCAAGAGCTCTTGATAAAAGACAATAATTCCGTCTTAGTGCTTGGAAAAAAAAAAACCCAGTCAACTGTATATAAGTTAAGTAAAACTAACTAAAAGTTCATTAGCACTTCAGAAGCTAAGAATAATGCATGAGATGCTTTAAAATCAGAACAGGTTTACAAAAACTGTTAGATAAGAAATAATACTTTATAACTTGTACACATGTTGGTCAAATTAAGCCTTATAATTGAAATACTGAAAGCTTTACAAGATCACAGAAGTGAAGATTATGATTCCTTAATACGTGTAAACAAAACGCAAACTGCAGTGCTATTAAGATGTAACAAACAGCTGATAACTGAGTGTATAACAACAGTAAATAAACCAATTTGTAGTATCTAAAAGCAGTGGCTAGATGAAAGAATAGGAATGAATTCTAAGTATTTGATATTATTTCATAATTTCAATAAATATAATTAAGACTAGCTTTTACAGAAGAAGTGATATGGCCCAGAAACTGGCCAAAGGGTGACAAACAAAGGGTAATAAGGCAATGCGTACTTCTAGGATACTGGTGGGGAAATCAGTTAGATACTTTATTCCCCAAGCTAATGGCCTGTAATACCAAGTGTGCTAAGAGCCAGAGCCATGAAAGTGGTTGGATGGCCATCTCTTCCTTACTTAGCTGCCTAACTTGCCATTGGCTACATGAAGATGTATGTTTAGGACAGTAGAATGCCGAAATGAGATCTCTCAAGGCATTTGAAGGGCTAAAGGATTTAAAAGCCTGAAAACACTCTTTAAAAAAGAACACTTTTTGAATCCAGCAATGCTAATCTACCTCATAAAACTTTTCTAGTATCTTAACTTGCATAATCAGTTACGTCATTATTTAAACAGTTGATTAAAATGTATCTGCATTTACAAATAAGGAAAACACTAGGTTAAGTGATAAAACCTACAGATAAACACATTCCAACTATTTGTAAGAACAATTAAGTTGTAATTTTTATGATTACCAGGTTTTTTTTATACTTTACTTTTTTATAATTACGAGTTTTTGCAGGTTCATAAACATCTATAGTAATAAACTAAGGTTTCTCAGCTATGTTTGTTGACTTCTCTCCCCTCTGTCAACTGGCCTATTACAAATAAAAGCAGTATTCATATAAAAAATTTGACTCAGCATATTTTCAAGAGAGGGAGGGTAGTTAAGGGAATCAAGTATCTAGCAACAAGTTTTTGGCAGTGCTTGAGTATGATCAGCTGGAAGAGACAGCTGCATCTGACAGTGCAGACTAATATTAAAAACTATCTAGGCTAAAGATGTTTAAAAGACAAGACTGAAAGGTCTGGGCTTTTTTTTTTTTTTTTTTTTTTTTTTTTATTTCAAACATGACTTTTTGATTTTCCCCAAGACCTAATTTAAAGGTTGGGGGGGTCATTAAATTCTACAGGTGAGTCATTCCCAGTAACAAAAAGGCAACATCCTACTACTCTCCTGTAGCAGTTTTGTTTAAAACTGCGTATTTTGGCCTACATTTTTTAAAGCTATGTTCTAGGTAAAACAGAAATTGCACAACTTATATTCCACTACTAAAAACCCTGAAGTACTATCACAAATGTGTTAATATAATCAAATACATGCTGTGTAGAGCCATCTCAACTGGAGTTTATTCAAAAACGCTCTTGTGTACACAGGGGACATTAATATTTTCTTTCATGTTTCATTTAAAATAAACCTCCAGAGACAAGTGATCTAACTAAAAGAGCTGAAAGTGTGAACAAATGCACTTATCAGGAAAAGCCAGTGCCAGCTTCCCTACATGCTTGCTACAATATGGGGACAAGCAGGATACTTCAATGCAAAGCAGGCAATTCAAAGGAACTAATGAATGCCCTGGGGCAGCACAGCTCCTCCAGCTGCAGAGGAGAGGTGAAACAAGTGATTGATAGTACTTGGTTTACTAGAGGGTGAGCAGAATCACACAGAAAAGCAGTGATGTTCCCGATTCATCTTTAAAAACAACAGAAGGAAGAAAACATGGTCTCTGTGTTTCCAAAATTGTAAAGCGCCTCAGAGTTTACAACGAAGACAGCAAGAATATAACTGTAATCTTACACTTTTTTGTGTCAGGCCATTATCATAGTTATCTAGTCTTAGTCATAGTGACCCTTAAAAAGCTAAATGAAGCATAACTGGATCCTCATCATGTTTATGATTTTGAATGCTCAAAGAACATTCCGTCCTTGTCTGGAAACTAGTGCTAACAACTGAGGCAGCTGGTCTGAACAGTGTAATTGCTAACTACAGACAGTTCCTAAGAAAACTACTAGATGGACGTGACACCTGTTAGTAAAGGAAATGAAAGATTATGAACAGCAGAAAGCATGAAACTTCTAGGAAGCAACGAAAGAAAAACTAAAAAGTTTTTTCTCAATTGAAAAAAACTCCCTTCACCCTAGCCTTAGTCCTTTTCTCCAAATCTGTTATCAAGGAAAATCATTGGAGTGCTCTACTATCTCCTTTCAGAAGAAAATTCTCAATCCCATCAAGGCCCAATTCATATTACTCTCACTCCTCATCCCCTTCAAAGAACTTCCAGAAAAAGAAAACCTCATAATATAAAAGTGAACAATTAAAAGTCTCAGTTCCAATAATCATACAAAAGCTTTAAGTAGCAGCATGTACTGCTTTCCCTTCAAATTTTTTTTAAAAACCTTTTCTATAGGTACTGCTGGGATTAGAATTACTGAACAGTACCACAGGAGACACGAGAGGATACATCCATCATGGGATCCTTAGACACATTAAATTGATAGCTAAGAAAACTAACACTACATTATTACTGACCAACATACACGCTCCTAGATCACAGAAAGCACAAAGAAAACCACGACAGAAACTAGTCAGCTACATAAATTACTTGCCAAGCAGTCACTGAACCACAAAACGATTGAAGGTGGAAGGGGGCTCTGGAGATCATCTAGCCTAACCCCTCTGCTCAAAGGAGGGCCACCTATAGCAGGCTGCCCTGGATCACATCCAATTAAGTTTTGCCTACCTTCAAGGACCGAGACTTCACCACCTCTCCAAGCAACCCATTGTAGTGTTTGATCACTCTCACAAAAAAAAAAACCCTGAACATCCCCCCCCACCCTGAAAAAAAAAACAAAACGCAGCTTTTTCTTAAGCAGAAGTTCCTGTGTTTCAGTCTGTCTCTTGTCCTGTCACAGGGAACCACTGGGAAGAGCCTGGCACCATCTTCTTTATATTTCTCCCATCATACACCTATACATAGGCAAAATCTCTGTGAACTTTCTCTTCTCCAGGGTGAACAGTCTCAGCCTGTCCTCATAAAACAGATGCTCCAGTCCCTTAATCATCTTTGTGACCCTCATAATACCACTTCTAGTAGTAATCATAACAGGACTGATACAGGGCAATTTGTCCAGCAGCAAAAGAAAATAGAAGGGAAACTGTACATGGGCCAGGTGTGGTTGAGTAAGTGAGGCTACGCATGGGTACAGGACAGAAAGGCTGCAGAAAAGCACAGGACAAAGATGTACCCCACGGGTCATTAGGATGTCATACAACAGGCTCATTTTCATTTTCAGAAGTGACCCACTTAAAATACTCAGAGCACTCTAGGATGCTTCTGGGCTAAAAGTTTGGTTTTGGCTGGGATAGCGTTAATTTTCTTCACAGTAGCTAGTATGGGTCTATGTTCTGGATTTGTGCTGGAAGCAGTGTTGATAACACAGGGCTGTCCCAGCTGTTGCTGAGCAGTGCTTGCACAGCACCAAGGCCTCTTCTGCCGCTCACCCCAGCAGCGAGCAGGCTGGGGGAGCACAAGGGGTTGGGAGGGGACACAGCCAGGACAGCTGACATCACAGACCATATGACATCATGTTCATCAATAAAAATATGGGGAAGAAGGAAGGGGGGGACCTTCCCTTCCCAAGTCACCATTATGTGTGATGGAGCCTGGCTGTCTTGGGGATGGCTGAACCTGCCTGCCCATGGGGAGTGGGGAATGAATCCCTTGTTTGGCTTTGCTTCTGTGTGCAGCTTTTGCTTTACCTATTAAACTGTCTTTATCTCAGCCCACAAGTTTTCTCACTTTCACGTTTCCAATTCTCTTCCCTATCCTGCTGCAGGGGAGTAAGCAAGTGGCCGTGTAGGGCTCACAAGAGTCAATCAGTTTAGGTTTCAATTTGACTAGTAAACCAAGAAGGAAAACCAGACAAACATACTGCATAAACAGGATGGAAGTTATTTCCATATGAAATGCTACAAATCTAAAAAGTTTTGTTAGCCTTTTAGTGCCAGTTCAACCATACAGAAGCATCAATTTTCAGAGCAAAACCTGAATATGCACTTAGACAAATCCATGGTTAAGGCAGTCAAAGAGACAGGTTCAGTCCCTAATTTGTGCAATTCAAATCAGAGTTACTCACTTCAGGCCCAGAGCACACAGCTCAAAAGTGCCAGAAATCAATATCCATCTTTGGGGAAAAAAGAAGAGTGATAGACTCCCAACAAGATGTCTGTCCTGGCAGTTTTCCCACTGAAATTATTCCCATCAGCTTTCAAAATTGAAAGACAGAAGCAAAACCAGGGGTCACTATACTGGAACACAGTACTGTATTTACAGACAGCAAGAAAATCATGTGTCAGACAGTATGATTAAAGCACAAAATCAGCTACCACAGGATATTATAATCGGTTCAAGATTAGAAGAGGAATGCTGAAAAGATGTAGGTGTACATGAATTTATGCATTAAAAGAAGTGAAGGCAACCACCATCAACCTTCTCATTCAGGCCTCCAGCTAAAGCACAGGATCTTACAGGGAAGATTATTTACTGTCAATGATATTAAGCAGTTTTTTTAATGGCAACGTTTTTCTTTTGTAACTATCTGAAGTGCTTTGGCAATGTAACTGAATTATAAAATAAATACATTGGTCACTTTATCTTCCACTAAAACAGCCATATGCAACTACAGCAACTAATTAATTGTCAGTAATTCAATAGTTAAACTCATAAACCCTGTAAATGAAAAGCTACATAACTAATCACCTACAATGGATTTTTTTTTTTTTTCCAATTCTGGAATAGTTGTCTTGAATGAAGCAGACAAAAACTTAAGTTTTAGGATTAGGAATCTTGAAACGGCAGGGAAATCTGTGCTAATAAATATGTAAGTGTAATTATTTCCAAGGGTTTCTTCCTTTACCTCTACAGACATTACTGACAGCAAAACACAAAACTTCTCTTGTCCATAGTGTAGAAGAGGCTACAGAATGCAGGACTGAACAGAGTAGGGATGCTGCACACTTCTGTGTGTGTACAGCTAGAACAGCGCAGAAGTTAATCAAAAATATTCCCTGAAAGGTACAGAAAAAAGCAATTCAATAAAGCAAGCAGCTTTTTCATGGAAATCTGATACTGTTCTATACCCTTCCCTTAACCTCTACATTCACATGCACAGGGATGGGCTTACCATGAATTTGACAGGCTTGGCAAAACCTCTGTGGAAAAAGGTAATTAAGGAAGCACAACATATGGGGACAGCATGGAAAAGTAGAAGGGAGGAACGTATGAGGCTGTGCACACAAAGGCAGTGCATAATTCCAGGAGAAACCATCAAAAAACCCATCATGCAAAAGAAAAAAATCTGCTCTGCTGTCTTCTTACCTTGCTGTCAAAAAGATCAGTCCATTTTGTTGTTTCCCAGAATGTCTCTGTCAAAGCTTCTGAGCAGCTCTCGTGATCCTCATCTTTGCCTTCTGCATCACTGGAAGCAGCCCCTTCTTGGGCCTGCAGGTGAAGAAGTTGGTCAGCCAGCGCACTTCCTTTTCGACAAAGTGCATCCACTAAAGTAGTCTTCTGCTTTTCCATTTCACTAAAAAAACAAACAGCATGAAAAACATTAAGGACTTTTTGCAGATACCTCATTAAGAGCAGAATCAGTGCTGTACTGAGTTTAAGCTAAAAAGTTTGCAGCAGTTAGTACACTCAAAAAGAAAACAAGCACAAAGATAATTTTTAAAGCATAGCTATTTACTATAAATTAAACTAATTGTAAAAAATTAACGAGAGACACTATGCATTAAACAAACTCATTCTTCTAAGTATGAAATGACTTTGATGTCTTAAGGCAAGGGCAACTTAGGATTCTAAAACTGAGTAAGCCAGCATCCAGAAATACAGCTTTATAGTTCCTGGCATTATAAATAGTCAAATCCATCACTAGCATGCACAGATACAATTCTGCTGACTTCAAAGGAATTGCACCCATTTAAAGCACCATTGAATTCGGTGTTCAATTTCAGATGTTAGATCCAACCACGTGGCCTAACAGGTCAATTTACCAATAAATCTTTAGAACGAAATTTATTATGTCATAGCTTTGCTTTTATATCAGCAGTTCTAGAATTATACACAAATATTCAGGATAGCTAGAACAGACAGGTGAGTTTTCCAACTGAAATCTGGTATTTTATCTAAAATAGCAAATATGCATCTCTCATTTTTAAGGGCCTAATCTTCAAATCTGCTACTCTATTTGTGACTAGAACAGCGCCATGCCACACACTGCGAAATCCACCAGTTATGCTCCAGACTATGGTGTCACCTTCAAAATACTGTCTTCCTAAGGATATATTGATGGTAATTCAGAGGAACAATCTAAAACTAAAGAAAAACAATGGGTCTCAAACATACTCTGAAGCACAAGTATGGTCATCACGCTTTTCACAAATGAAATCTTTTGCAAGTAGGTACTTGTCAGGCTGCTGTCAATTTTGCATTCAAATACAGATCCAAAAGGTTACAAAGTATTATGAAAAGGCAAGTATCATTCAAAACACACACCTCCATATCAATATTCTAGTGGTCCTTCTGAACTGAGATTAAGCTTGATACAAAAAATTAATACCCCATTTTTCTGACATATTTAAAACCTGAAAGCACCCTTGTTTATTTTATTTAATATTTCTAAGTAATAATTTGCAGATTTCAGTGTTCCTGTATTCTGGAGGCATAATAAAAGAAAAAAATAATTTAGCAGTCAAGTTTGAAATTACCAGTGCCCCCCAAAATAACACAAGTTATTCAAAAAGGTTATAGTCATTCCATTTCTTACAAGCAGAGACAAAGTACACGGATTACAGAAATAGGATGCAAGAAAATTATTTACTGGGTAGGTACTTTTTTATAGTAGTTGCATCAGGCCTGGGGTCAGTCTTCATGGCAAAATATACTGCTAATGCTGTCTGATCAATATGAGATATTACAGTATTTGCAGCTTCAACAATTTCATCAAGTCTTTTCATTCGTTCCTAAAGGAAGGATAAAAAAGGTGTTTAGCACTATGAAATCACACTACTTGACTGTTGATTCTACTAACCAACCTTAGGATAGCTGCAAAAGTTTGCAGAAATAACATTAGATAATTCAACATGTCATTTTCTCCACTTTCTCTAATTTTTGATTCAAAAAAACTTACAAGAAGTCTGCATTATCAAGATTTTCTGCATTTCACTGAAAACAAACTGTAAAATGAGGCAGGTATATACAAAATGCAGAGTCTACAGAAAGAAGACCACCTTTCAGCAAAACTTAATCCTCTTAAATAATGCAGCAGTTATTCATTTCAGAAATAAATATAAAGTCAGAATCAAATATACAGGAAAATATTCAAGCTACTGACATACACACAAAGCTGTTTATCTTCAAGATAAACAGAAAAAGCAGACATATGTAAACTTTTCTATTCACGGTTCTCATTTCTAAGGACAATGACAGATGGTGGATTTAGCTGCGTCATTTCAAGGAACTGTCAGTTGCCTGAGCAATTCTGCTAGAAGAAATTACCAATCCAGCAGAGGAGAATGGGATGTGTGTTTGTCTTAGTAACCACCGTTTAGAATAATATTACTGTAGCCTAAACCAGTAAGGAAACTTACAATGTGTTTAACTTAACACAGAGTAAATGATAAAGAAACATACTATAGAGGTAGGCATACTTTCTTTCATTCTCAGGTGGGATTAAGTAAATCACAGTCCATTAGGGAGGCAGCTCCCAACCTAATTAGGAATTCCTTTTTTGTAGTAGTGAGTACAGCTATGGCAGTCACTTCAAGACCAAACATACATGAAGAAAGATTCCGTTGTTTAGGCTATGTGGATATATTCAGACAAATCAAGTTTAAAAAGTGTTAAACAACCTTCTCAGAATCCAGCTGATGAAGTCTTGCAACATACAGTGGAAGATGATTAGGAAATGCTTCTTTCAACTCATTATACATGTCAGTGGTATCCAGCCTAGAAGAGAGGAGGACATAGCATGAGAGTATAGATGCTGGATGTTTTTTTGTACAGGTGCTTCAAACTCCTGTAGTCATGACAGCAGACATACTTGGTCATCCACTGTATTTTTAGATCTCTTAAAGCTTCAGCAAATTCTTCTTTTACATCTTTTTCTTTTTCCTGTTCTCTTTCTTTCTCTTTGCTGCCATTTTTACTCTTTGATGGTGATGGTATCAGATGATAGTGAAAAGTAAGGACATCCTGGAGGTAGGAAAACAGATACATACTGAGACGGATACAGTAGACTTTCTTTCTGATGCTATATACAAGCTAAATCACAGCAAGCAACTACTCTGAGCTATGCATACACTGAGAGCAAAGGTATTAGTCACCAAGAATTCAGGAATTGATTTAACTTTTTACTTTAAGCAATGCAAGGATATAAATGTTAAAACAGCACACTGGGTGTAAGACAAGAAAGCCTAAAATTTAGCAAGTTTCACATTTTTGTATTCATATAATTTTACATAATATTAGTTAGAGAATCAGAAGGGTGGAGTTTTTAAATTTGTTTGCTTAGAAAAAAAAAAAAAGAACAAATAACTTGGTTAAAAGGCAAGGGAATAAAAAAATCAGTTAAGAGATCCTATCCTATAAATCCGACAATAAGCAAATGAATAAAGGTGACTGAATCGTAAAAAATAATACCACAGTAGCATAAACCTGAATCATGACATAGGATATACAAGTCTATTCCTCCTGAGACTATAATTCTTCCATGTGCCTACTGAATTAGCTGATGCATCCACAGTCAACTGTTTTCCAGCTTGCTGCTACAGACTTTCCAGTTTCACTGGAAATTAAGTAGACACAACAGCAAGATTTTTTTTTAAAACCCTATATGCCAACACAGAAATATCACTATAGTTTGAGTCCATGCTACACTAGTCAACAATTACCATGAGAAAATCAGCAACAGGTATTTAACCGGAAAATTGTAACTGACATTAGACCATGCTCTGAAGTACATTTCCTAAGATGATTTATATATAAATTTGCAAACAAACCAGCATTAGATTTCAGTCATTGCTTCTAAAACTCTATAATTGCTGCGGAGGCCACTTTGTTGTTTCTGGTTTTAATGTTGCAATTTTTAAAAAAGCCTCTCCCCAAACAGTGAGGGCACATGTCCTGTTATTTTACGTATAGGATATTTTGCAGAGAAGATCACTTAAATTTAAATCCTCTAGATACCATTACTCTGTTGCAACATTGTACAAAATACTGTGTTGCATACTCAACTGATGTGATAATTTAATTATTCATACCAATTATTCCAGAATATATTTGTGGGAATATGTTTCCCATACACAAGGTCAGTGTTGCGTGATGAAACAAAATCTTGTGCACAAGATGGATTTATTTGACTACTTAAATAGTGAGTAAAAGGTGACTATCAAAAACTGCTATGGATAACCTTGAAATAATAGGCTTCAACACTGTACTTCTGAAACCATTCAACAACATTGATGCAGAACAATTTTATGTGAACTGGTAGTTCAAACAGACCAGCAGATTGCTATGGGTTACTGAAAACAATACTGGTAAGAGAAAGAGACATCACTATTCCCCTAAAACAACTTTTCTAGCCGCTTAATACGTAATCACAGATGAACCACAAAATTGAAATTTACATATTTCTTAAAAACATAGTTTAGATCACTAATCTACATTAAAGTGTAGCTTTTACAGGAACTATCCTGCACATGTGCATTTCAGGAATGAAGTGCATGACCAGGCAGTACACCTAAATAAGACTTCAGCAAGACCTAGGCCAGAGCATGACAAAACAGGTCATGAAGACAAGCACATGCAGTGGAGGATACAAAAGTCAGAAACATGGTATGGGCCTGGCTAAGGTAGTAAGAATGGTAGAAAGCAAAAACGTAATTCATTAAAGTAAAACAAGCATTTTAAGATGCCTGAGAAGTTCACTTAGTACAAAAATCTGAATCAGTAGCTTACAGTGTTTTTTAAAAAATGTCCTGTTAAGTCTAGTACTTTCATAAGAAAGAAACCTGCCTTCCTAGAAATATTCTTTTAGTATTTCAGGATTTCCTTACTGAAAGTCCTCTTTGATCTTACTTGGCAACATGTGTTTGGAGTTATGTATCTAAATGGCCTCTGCATTCTCAAGCCTTAGCTATACGAGGAGGCTCTATGACTCTGGCTTAAGTTTCAAATCAAGCATAATTAGATTAACAAAATTCCACTTATGTGGATGAACACTTTCATTTAAGAGACTAATCCTATGTAGTTAAACCATCAACAGTGATATGTCACCTTCACATTCTCTCAGCTAGGCACTTTCGGTCTCATGAGATTCTGCAAGCATTACAAGCTATTACCATTGAAAGGAAAACAATGAGCTTCAGATCTAGGCACCCTCTTTCTTCTAAAAAGCTTACAGAAAAAGAGGCACACTCTTCTCTACAGACATCAGACTTATTTAATGGGAAAATAAGGTTTAAGTGCTTATCACATTCAACTAAAATATCCCAAGACCATAATGATGGACTCTTCCTTTGCTCTATGCTGTCTGCAAACACTAAGCATCATTTATGAAACTTTGCAGCTCCCTAGATAACAGAAGATCCCAGAATGACACTGTCACTGCCATTACAGAAACATTCATCATTAGAGATTAAGGAGAAGAAAAGCAATTCTTCACAATTCAGTGCTTCAATGTGTTTTCTTATTCAAATTTCACCCTAACTTTTTTCACAGTTAGCAGGAGAATTGATAGAGTAGTGTACTGGATTTGATTTTATAAATACCTATAAAAACATACAGAGCTATAGACAGAGAAAGGCAGCAAGCAAGCATATTATCCATTAAAAATATGACTTTAAGGAAACTTTCAAATTAATGAGAAAGCTGACCTTGTTCATCCTCTAAAAAAATTAAACAATATTAAAAACTTTGGAAGCATACAGGATATGCACTTTGGTCAGTGCACTCTGTGCACAGTCTGACAAGCCTCAGTGAGTTTACTTTTAACTTAGAACTACAAATTGCATACATAAACAAGCACAATGCCCTCAAAACAGTCACCTCTTAAAAGACCTTTAACAGTTAATTTTGTTTATATTTAGATTTCTGTCTGATGATTCAACATCTGGTACTTTATGTGTAGAAGACGTATGAACTATTGTTATTTGTACTTCAAAGCATTAACAACAAAACTAACTACATGAAAAAGCTCCTTGAAGGAACACATAGCATCATGGAATGATTTGGGTTGGAAGGGACCTTAAAGATCATCCAGTTGCAACCCCCCTGCCATGGGCAGGGACACCTTCCCCCAGCCCAGGGTGCTCCCAGCCCCGTCCAACCTGGCCTGGAACCCTTCCAGGGAGGGGGCAGCCACAGCTGCTCTGGGCAACCTGTGCCAGTGCCGCACCACCCTCACACTCTCACAGTGAAGAATTTCTTCTGTAGATCTAATCTAAATCTACCTTCTTTCAGTTTAAAACTGGTACCCCTCATCCTATCACTACACTCCCTGATAAAGAGTCCCTCCCCATCTTTCCTGTTGTACTGGCAGGCCACTATAAGGTCTCCCCAGAGCCTTCTCTTCTTCAGGCTGAGCAACCCCAGCTCTCTCATCCTGTCATCACAGGGAGGTGCTCCAGTCCCCTGATCATTTCTGTGGCCTCCTCTGGACCCACTCAAGCAGGTCTATGTCCTTCTTATGCTGGGGGCCCCAGAGCTGGATGCAGTAATCCAGGTGGGATCTCACAAGAATAGAGGGGGAAAATCCCAGGTCTCATTTTCCATTTAATAAATACCATGCACATCTGCATATACACACAGTTGAATGTGCATATAGAATTTGTATCTACTTTAAGATGCATACAATTTGTGCAGTGTTGCTTATTTTTACGGCAATACTCTTATTTATTTGAAAATGAATTAAGTTTCTTGAAGTCACCAGCCAAGCCTACATAAAATTAAACCAGATAGGTACTTCATCCTATTTTTGAAGGCCTCCTGATTAAACAGGGATAGTGATTTAATGCTCAGAGGAACTCATCCTTTTATGTTTGACCTCACAATGGTATTTATTAGCCTTCCACTAGTACTTATCAGTATCTCCATAATGCATTTTTTACTTCAGATTGGGGGAAAGGATGGCGGAATAGGGAGGAAGATGTAGAATTTTTCTATCCCTTAGCTAGCTGTTACATATTGCTGTTCAAAAGCTGCATTATGTAAAACAACAGAAAAATGTTTCTTACAGACCAGAAAAAGTCAAGGATCTGCTTTCATTCTAACTTTGTTCAGGACAAAACTTGGAGACAAAGGGATAAAATAATCAGATTGTAACTGCATTACAAAAATTTGGTTGTGAAAGAAGAAAGGTATGTAGAACCAATTTGTTTTTCACATGGCTGTTGAGCATGTGCCTCCACATTAGAGACCAAGGGCACTTCTGAGGGCACATCAACTTCCCAAGCCACCAACAGTAGGGTACTCCAGTGGGGATCAGTTTAAAGGAAAAACATCACTGAATTCTGAATTTCATACATATCACAGGTACAGAAGTTGGAGAGAAAGGATTTTTATGTCCAGAGACAGTGAAGACAGCAAGACATTAAGTAAAACCCCATGCCCAGGGTTGTTTTGGGTTTTATTTCAGGTTTGAGTCTTTTTAATACGTTCCCCAAAATAGCTCCTCAAACAGAAAATTACAGATTAGGCATACGATTCTGCAGTATGTGTGTAGTAAAACAAAGATACCTCCTTATTCTGTGGAAAGGACCCATTGACATTTTTGTCCAGTTATAAAAGAATTAACTGTTTTCTCTGGAAAATCAGGCTGCTATTTCCTGGCATCGCCTCAAACTGCTTTCATGCAAAATAGAGAAGCTGTTGAAGTATGGGCTGGATGAGAAGTCAGGTGACCGAAACCTGCCAGGCCCAGAGGCTGGTGATCAGTGGCTCAGCTGGAGGCCAGTAACTACCAGGGTACCCCAGGGGTCAATACTGGATCCAGTCCTGTTCAACATCTTCGTTAATGGTCTGGGTAATGGGGCAGAGTGTACCCTCAGCAAGTTTGCAGATGACACCAAACCAGGAGGAGTGGCTGATAACTGCAGAGGTTTGTGCTGCCGTCCAGAGGGACCTTAACAGACTGCAGAAATGGGCTGTCAGGAACCTCAAGAAGTTCAACGAGGAAAACTGCAGTCTTGCACCTGGAGAAGAATAAACCCACGCACCAGTACATGCTGGGGGCCACCCAGCTGGAAAGCAACTTGGCAAGAAGGACCTAGGTGGACACCAGCTTGAACATAATTCTTTCTGTAAATTCTACTGTCTGCTACACCGCTTTATAAACTCTAGCCTATAATGAGTTATATTCAATTTGAGTAGAATCATGAATTGAGAGACTTTTCAATCAAGTCCATGCCTCCTAAGAAAAAAATGCCAGCTATCAATTCCGTAGACTTAGTATACAGTTGGATATTCAATTCTACATCAGTGTTAGGTACATGTTCAGTTCTTAATTTGCAAACAGAACAGGCAGAAACACTTGCCACAGAAAATCTTGACCGCAAACACTGAAGATTCCTGAGTATTTAATAAAAAGAAAAATTACAGACCACTAATCACCACATGCATTTTATAGCACTTATTGCAGAAGTATCCAGATGCTCACGTGCCTCTCAGCTTTGTATTACAGTAGTGTTTTGTCATTCTACCAGTAAACATACTTAAGGTGCTGAAGTAAATAACTCAGGACTAAGGAAGTAGATGAGGGAGACAAATTAAAAACCAATACTGGTAGACAAATTCTTTAAGTCATATGCAAAAAGACTTAAGTATATCTTTTTCAAAAACTAACATTCAGTACCTTTTTAAATTTTCCTTGTCGCTTTGCTGCAGACTGCCCCTGGGAGTTAGAATAACATACTGTAAGAAAACATGCACACACCACACAGGATGGAGACACCTTCTCTGTACAATTACGGTTATACTTTCAACCTACAGGTTTTTAAACTTTTAGAGAGTCACATTTATGATCAAACATGCTCTTAAAGCATGCTCTTCCAGGTTTTTAAAATTAATAAACAATGCATTATTGTGTATACAGTCCGTTATTCCTGTAAGACAGCAAGTGTTGTTAACCACTTAGCTTAAAATAATAAATTACAGAAATTCAGCCTCAAAAGTGTAGATTTTAGATTTTGACTGTTTAGTGGCATTGTTCTATTTCATAATAAATATACAGAAATCAGATACATTTTCCTTCACATTGCATCCATTTGCTGACCTAGAGACAACTTTGCTACCTAGTCCTCCTTTTACATCTCCTGGTACATACTGAGGTTCACTAAAGGCAGCAGAAAGTATCTGATGCTATTTGATAGCATCCTTTTTCCATGACCACAGAAGTAATGCCTTAGACTATGACATGAGACATGCCTCAGCTAGAATTTCTCTCTGTGCAAGCTCTGAAGTATTCTTCACCACATGAAGTTTAACAGGCAGTGTCTACCTACCTCCTACTTCCTATTGCAGAAATCACTGGATATAACAATTTATTCTGGTTTTGAAATAAGAGAGATGAGGATTACAACCAATAGTTCAAGGAAGTGCAGAATTCAAGTTAGGAAAACTATACTAAACTAGTGTAATGGATTTACCATGAATTTCATAGAAGTAATACTTGCAACCTTGAAGGAATCACAAAAACTTAACACTAAGTATTTCAGAGTTCTTAGCTACTGGGTTTTTCCTCACTGATACATAAATTCTCTGACAGACATCATCTAACCTGCAGTTATATGCAATCTGCCCCAAAAGCACTACCTACAACCAAATCAGATTGAATGAACTAAACTTTTGTACTCAACAAGATCTATAGGTATGTGCCCACCTACTCACAGAAACTTATTTTCTATGAAAATATACTCCAGTTTTGCACAGGTTGTTCAGCCACGTCTAGTGATACATGGACATAGACGAACTACCTCTAAATACTAACAATCACCAGAACTGATTAAAATTTATTATTCTCAGCTTTGCCATCTATTTAAAAATAGCTAAGGGAATCTTCTAAATACCTTAGCACCAGATACACACAAAAGCGGTCTGGTTACTATAATCACTTTTGCACTACAGATTCATACAAGTTAGAAACCAGTTTTTACAGGATGATGTATTATGAGCAAAAAAACCCTACAGCTTTTTTCTAGCATCACATACAGAGATGTTACATAATTCTGTTGGAGCATACAGTCACATTAGTGGTTGACAACATCAGTGTGCAGCAGGTAAGAATATCTGCTTATGCATTCGAGTCAGCAAAATACCTATTATTTTGTAGCAGTAACATGTAGGTGTTAAGAAAGCACATATTTTTGCTGAAAATTGTATGCATGCAAGGAAGAATATAGCTGTTTATTAGAGAATCAACATGCACAGAACAATATATACACACACGTTTCATTCAAAAATTATACTAAGCTAGGCAATTACACAAAATCACTTCTAAAGGCCCCACACAAAAAAGCAGTTGCTTCTAGAAATATAATAAAGCAGACAGAATTAGTATTCAAAATTTAGAAAATGCTATTAAATTTGAAATTCTAAGATGAAAATAAAAATAGAGCTACTTAGAAGTTACTCTGACTTTATAATGAAATAGTGGCTTCTAAAATGTGTTATGCTACTAAACATAGAGTTTTTTAAAGTACTAAAACCATAAAATACAGCACTTCCTGGCATGCCATTTACTCTCTTCAAAAGTTTCAGAAAAAGAAGCCGTCATCCATTTCAAATACTCACAGCTTTCTTTCCAAGTTCTGTTTTAGACAGTATAAGAGCTCCTGCAAGATAACATCCTGGTCCTGCTCCTTTAGGTATTCTATTCAAAGAAAGAAAGTTCAGGGTTAAAACCAGGTTCATTAACATTTCATGGGGACTACAACAAAGAACCCAAACAGTGAAAGAGCAGCACAAGAGGAATTACCAAGCCTAAACAGGTAGACACTATCAAAGCATCACTCTAGTTAGGTGAAGAGGCAGCTGGTTAGATGTAGATGAGAAAAACAGAACTTCAGTAACTTACTTGTCATCGGGCAGAGATGTAACAAAGAATGGCTGACTGTGCTTTGGTGGTAATGTCAAACTGTTGGATTTCTTCTTCCCTAAGAGAGCAAGGCTATGGTTTTCATAAATATCTAAGCTCAAGGTACTAGACAACCTGTGAGAAACAATAAATGGAAGGTCTTTGATGCGATCCAGCTCACTGTTCTGTTCATGACGAATTTGTAACCGAATAGTGTAATCTCCTTTTTCCAGTTTCACAGAATACTGAAAGAAAGAAGTTCTCATAAATGTCAAGATTAAATACTTCACCATTCACAAAGAAACCCAGAAATAAGACTGTCATATTCTCGACCCATATAGCTCTAGCCATTTAAATGTGCTAGATTGCTTAGTTTTTTAATCTCCTGAAAAGACTGCTTTCAAGACTTGACAGCAGCCAAAACACATTTTGTATTCACTGAAAAAAATTAAGTTTTCAGATCACAAAATAGGCTGACATCACCTGTTCCTATTCTAATACTGTATTAACTGCTCAAATAACAATCAGAATTCTTACTAAACTTTCAACTCAAAACCTCTGGTGGGTTTGCCTTGATACACTTTCGGTTTGCTATGATCTAAACCCAAAGTTACACAGAGTATCTTCCAGTGTCTCAAACACTGTATTGGCTTTCACACTGAGGGACCCAGTAATCCTATGAGACTTAAGGTTGCAGTATAAAGAGCTGGACAGACTCTATGCCCTGAGCTTTTTATATATTGTTAGAAATATGCAGATAACAATCTCCATTAAAAAAAAAAAAAAACAAAAAAACAAAATAACACACACAAAAAAACCCAAACCAACCAAACAAAAAAAACCCAGAACACCCACCACCCCAACCAAAACACACCCAACAAAAACTCCCCAGACATTATTTTGTTTCTATCAACCAAAAAGGGCATCATGTGAATGTTTTGAGAAGCAGCATGCTCAGTTTCCTTTCTGCTGCTATAATACTAAAGGCAGCCCTATGTACCAAATGACAATAATTCAGAACTACCCTGCTCCCAGAATCTCCCTCTCCTGGGTTAGAGTTAATTTTTAATTGTTTTAGAATTGTTCTATGATGCACAACACCACAGATTTACAGCATGGCTGTCCACCAGGTGTAAGTAACAGGCTACTCTGGTGATTTCTAGATTTTATAGCACCTTAAAAATGTAGGCTAAGGAACAGAAGTTTAAATAATGTGATTTCTGAAAATTATTTATAAGATTCAAAAGACATGCTTTAAAGCTGGTCTGTTGTACACTTCCAGAATGATCAATCTACCTAAATAAACATTACACTGATGAAGTTCAACTGTGATTTTTGGATTGGTAAAAAACGGTTTCAAATGCAAAAATTATGGAAACTGTTTCTCTTATGTTGTTACTTAATTTTTTATTCCTCCCCCCCAGCCCCTGCATGATCCAGACACATGTTCTGTTTCAGCTGAAAAAGATTCCCCACAGAGGGTAGAGTATCTACAAGTCTTGTATAAAAAACTCCCTTTGAAAGGCAGCAACAGGATGTTAACCAAGCTACAGCATTTAAAAGACTGAAGACATCAACAGCAAAGAAAACAGTCTTCATGGATACAGAAGCCTCTGATCTCTCAACAGATAAGTCAGACTACAGAAAAAATAATACACAATTTCCCCCTTAAACAGAAAAATTCAAGGTATCTTTGTAAAAAACCCAAACATAAAGACAACAAGAACTTGAATTCATTTCTTGAGAAGCACCAGTCAAAAATCACAAGAAGTCACAAGTCAACAGCTTTCTGTAGAAATAAAACACGCCATAACTTTTCTTCCTTCCTCTGAAGAGAAAAAAGAATCATAATGTTCTATTTCATGGAAACAAACCTGTCATTACTTTTTTTCATAAACATGTATCACCACTGAACCTGTCTTCTTGTGACTATATAAGAACATTATACCTATGCATCAGGAAATGTTAGGAGCTAACAGCAGGGCTGAAAGGTGGAAAAAAATATGAAAATTTTCATACTGTGAAGAAAACAGAAGGTAAAATAAATACATTACTCTGTACCTGGTGTGGATAGGCATCTCCTGAACCCATTTGCCTTTTGTTCTGGTCAAAAATAATCCACAGTTGACTATCAAATTCAGATTCGTACAACAATTCACAAAGAAGTGGACAGCTTGGAGTTACTTCTCCACTCTTAGGCTATTAAAATAAAGGTCAAAACATTTAATTCACTATTGAATAAAACAAGTACAATCCTTACACACACACTCAAAAGGATACCTGAACTAAAGCTCATTTCAAGCAACTGCAGCCCCTAAAGAGAACCAAGTCAGAATTTTGGCTGTAGAGAGTCTAGAATGTGTAGAGAGTGTGAATCTGGACCTCATTTCTGACAAAGCTAGTTAAAAATAAAATCTGCCATTAGAAAACATGCTGTATTTAATGACTTCTCAAAAAACAACCACACATATTGCTTACCTGATGGAAGTTATAGGTCAAAATCATCTCATACAGTTGACGATTGTTTGGTAAAATATCTCTGGAACCCAAAGGTTTTATTTTTGCACTCACTGGTCTGCAGTTAAACAACAAATAACAACAGAAGGTACTCCTAAGAAACATGTATCATCTACCAAAATTTGTCTTGCTTAAGCAGAAGCATATTCTGAAGTATAACTGAATTCAGCACATGCAGTAACATCTCAAAATATTGTAACTATCCAGGAATCACAAATTCCTCAGTTAAAATGAATATCAGTTCAAAAACAAGTTTTAGTGACATTACAGACCCTGCCAAATAAAAAAGTCAGAGTTTAGCAAGCACCAAGAAGTGCTCAAAATTAAAGGCCATAAAAAAAAAAAAAAGCAAAAGCCAACAGACTTCAGGATTAGGAAAAAGAAAAAATCAGGTTACTTTACAACTCTAGTATCCATGCTGCAATCAGCACTTTTATTCATAGATTGAAAGATTAATGGCACAGTGATTAGAGTACAGAATAATTAATAACTGTACGCTATAGAAGGTTTTATCAGAAAAGACTCTAAGAAGCCTTACAGAAATCAGAGTAGTAACACAGAAAAACATACTACCTGTATAGTTTATGTTACCTCAGATACAGTTAAGACAAACTATTGTTCAGAGAAGCACAAACACTTTAGGCCCTAAGCATCAAAGGATGTAAGCTATTCTCTCCCTCTTCTCTGCTCTTGCGAGACCCCACCTGCAGTGCTGTGTCCAGCTCTGGGGCCCCCAACATCAGAAGGACACGGACCTGCTTGAGTGGGTCCAGAGGAGGCCACAGAAATGATCAGGGGACTGGAGCACCTCCCTGTGATGACAGGCTGAGAGAGCTGGGGTTGCTCAGCCTGAAGAAGAGAAGGCTCCAGGGAGACCTTATAGCGGCCTGCCAGTACAACAGGAAAGATGGAGAGGGACTCTTTATCAGGGAGTGTAATGATAGGATGAGTGGTACCAGTTTTAAACTGAAAGAAGGTAGATTTTGTTTGGATCTACAGAAGAAATTCTTCACTGTGAGGGTGGTGAGGCACTGGCACAGCTGTGGCTGCCCCCTCCCTGGAAGGGTTCCAGGCCAGGTTGGACGGGGCTGGGAGCACCCTGGTCTGGGGGAAGGGGGCCCTGCCCCTGGCAGGGGGGTTGGAACTAGACAGTCTTTAAGGTCCCTTCCAACCCAAACCATTCCATGGGTCTGTGATTTCACATAATAATGATATAGAAAAATAAGAGCTTTGTAAACAAAGAATAGCAAAATGAGTGTGGCCTGGCATCATTTAAGTTTACATTTCATTCATTCTGACAACCTATAATTACATGATCAAAATTTTCTACAAGATTCTGTCAGCTGTTTCATTGCCAAGAGCACAGACCAGTCATCCAGCAAAATATCTGTGCTGGGTCAGACCACAGATCCATTTAACCCAGGTTTCCTAGTCTGGCAGACACCAGATAGACTGCTGACAGAAGACTTAAGAACTGAGTAATACCACACATGATACGTCTCCCTAATAGCCACCCTGCCTCCAAGCATCTGAAACTCCAGAGACCAAATGAGAAGCCATTCAGTACATTTTTTTCCTCTGTGTTATGACTGCTATCTTCATTCAAGAGTACTATTCGTACCTTAATTTAAATACATAAGTATTTCTCACTAGTTTACCTAACTGCAGTTCATTTACTGTCAGGTGAATGCCTCAATTACTACAAGCAGATAAGAGCATCTCCATTTTACAAATCAAGAATGAGGCAAAGATATAGTAGGGGATTGTTTTATTTCCCCACTTAAGGCACATCAAATTGTGTATTCCTGAATCTAACATTAAGTGGCACGTTCATTAAAGAATAAATTCCTAGCAACCTCAATTCCAGTTAAAAGTATCCAAAAGCCCCAGACAAAGCCCCACATCTCCACTGAGATGCCCAAATAAAGGAAAACTCGGGATTACTGACCACTGTGAATTTGTCTGGCCCAATTGTTACAAGTACTGCTTAAACCGTATGGCATTTCTTTTTCCTCCTGAAGTGACCAACTCTAGTATCTGTTGCACTGCTTAGGAATTTTCCAACAAAGCTTCTCCTCCAAATCAGCATGTGTGAAACTGACAACAAGATAAACACAACTTTCCCCACAAAATTCTGCACCTAATCCTAAAAAAACCACTTCCAATCAAGCAAGAGAGAGAAGACAGTCTTCCCAGGTCTAAATTGGCCACGACCTGAAGCAGCTGCTTAAAAAAAAACCCAAAACAACTAACAGTAGCACCAAATAAGTCTACAATTTGTTTCTTCAGATATTAAAGTGCCTTTTACCTTTAAGTATCTCATTAGGAAGCAATGGAACATCTTTGTAAATGTGTTGGTTTTTTGGTTTTGGTTTTTTAAAATAGCTTAAAGAAAATAATTTGCATGGAAAAAGTCACCATATTTCTCAAATTTTGCCAAAGTTAGAAGGAACCAAAAAAGAGAATGCTGAGAAATTTTATTAATTCATACTTCCAAAACTACTTAAAATTTGACAAGAATATTGTTGTTACCCTAAGTTTCACTGTTAACTTGTTACTGTTTTAACTACATACAAAGAGCTTTCCCACTTTCCCAGTACAGTTCCCCCAAAACTCTACCTGAGTGTTTGAACCCAGCTTTTCAGATTTATGCATGGAGCAATATCTTCATACTTCAACAGGGACTGAACATCAAATCGTACGATGCCTTCTGAAGCATGCTAAGGAAAGAGCACATAACAATTATGCTTCTGTGCACGTCAGATGTGGATCATCTGTTATGTCCCTCAAAAACACAACACAAGCTGTATTTATCTATACTATAAGAAGTATTACTGTGCAAGTTTGAAAGCATCACAAGTTTATTTCTATTTTATAACAGCAGATACACTGGGACTTGCAAAACTTCAGCAACTGGAGCTAAAGCCCTATTTATATTTCCTCTCCCTCCTTTAATAATTCAAGTACTTTGTACAGAACTATCCAAGCCATACTTTTGGCAGGGCTGGGTTTTGTTTGTGCATTTGTGACTATTTCCTTTGAATATATAATTCAATAAATACAAGTATTATTCATCTAGCATCTTAAAACAAGTATTTTATGGAGTTACTGCTGAGGATTATTATTACAGAATAGTTTAACTCTGCAAAAATAAGCAATAATACATGCACAGGTTAGTGATAGGTAAAATAATTTGAGAACTTTTCCTAGCAGTATTCTATGCCAAAGCCACCAGTATATCAGCACTACTAAAATTTATTTTAAAAAGGTTACAGGTGCTCACGAAGGGAAGAGCAAAACTGTTTGTATTCTCTCAATTTTAACTCTCCATTCTTCAGTTGATGTAATCATGCTGGGGTGAGGGGAGTTGCTATGCACACCACCACCACAACCACCACCAGCTCTTTCTTTTCCTGCTCTACCGCTTCAAGAACTGGTACCTTAGCACAGTGCACCCACTCTTTCTTCCAGAGTTTATTCAGCTCTTAGGCCTGAATACATCCAAATTCACCAGTAGGACAGCGATAATTTGCTCTGGCCCTTAGCCAATAAAAGGGGAGGAGCAAGGATAAATTAGCATGGTGCTGCTTCTTGTAGGTATTGCCATATCAGCTCTCAAAACCAGCCCCCTCCTGAGGGAGGCAAAGTCAAGCCAAACCAGGTTGCACAGGACAGCAAAGAACATAGGAGCAAGACAAAGTACCATAAATATTATGATACTAATGCTTATAACAACCTTCAATCCTTTAGTATTGCAGAGCCTTAGGAATCACAACACTGACCATCTACTGTGCCTTCAACTGCTCTAAATGATGAATCTCAAGCCAATTGGCATTTCTCAGTAAAACACTGAACAGAAAATAAATTGTAATGAAATTTTATTCTGAAAATGGTATTCAGAGTATTGTCTTTTAGCAATAGTAGTCTAGATACTCAAGTTCAAGAACTGTGGTCCCAGCAAAGTCTATTCACACACACACACTTGCTATAGTAAGTACAGTTACAACTTCAGCCTTTTAGTATGTCCTTTCTATTGGTGCTGGGTTTCAGTTTGGTTTTTTTTTCCCTATTTTTTCCCCCCTACTGAATGATAATCAAGAGGCATAGGAAAAAATCATAAATAATGGTAATGGGCATTTCTGTGGGATTGAACTCCTATTTACCTATTTTTAAGAGAAAACATGAACATCTCATATATAAAGATACTTCTGGCCTTTCTAAATACAGGCAAGAATGAAGAAAAGGTTTTTTTACTCTGATATACCATAGGACTTCAGAATAATTCAAAATAAACACTCTGTAAAACTTACCATGTTTAGCTGAGGAGTAGCACAAAGTACACCATGGAAAGAAATTGTGTAATTAATGCTAACATCACTAAGGCTTGCCCACCATCGAGCAACACAAAATTCAATGGTTCTTCCAGCCTGGATAACAAAAGCACAACGTTAGACTCAAGCTCCCATCTTCCCCTTCTATTCACCCCAGCCTCCCCCATCCCAAGCTAAAAATTTTGGAGTATAGCTCAAAAAAGACTGTTATGTCCAGTTCACTCCAATTGTATAGGTCTGTACAGTAGCAAATAAGACATTATACTTGGTTCACAAAACACAAGACAGCTTCAACAAAACAGAATGACTGATGACCACATCAAAACAGAGAGCCAGGGGTATACCTGACAGAGAAAGGTACAACTTTTAAATGTGATGCCTTCCTTTCCTATCCTTCAAGCTAGGCAGACAGGTTAGTTCACAGATGAGTTTAATATGTGTGCCCTAGAAAATGTGTATCAAAGAGATCCCACTCTCTGCCTAAATAAGATGACATGAAGCCTGGGAGTTTTGGGGTTTGCTGTTGTTTGGTTGGGGTTTTTTAACTAATGGTAAAGTTCACAATGCATCAGTGGGACAAACTTAGCTTAGGGTCCCCCACCTGATATTTTCAGAGTTTAAGGGACTGAATAGCACAGAAATTATAACCACCCATAGGCTTTAGAGCTGAACACCTAAATAAAGCAAGGCAGGGGACAAACTTGAGAAGTGGACTCTATCATCCACACCCCTGAACTGTTAGCTTACCCCCTGGTTCTGTTTTGAACTCTTACGCTAGCGCTACTCAAGCTAAGCCTGCTGTATCTAAGCAGTATGACTGCAAGCCAGTCAGTTATCACCTGGCTTCAACGCCAAGGAGATGGCTCCGATCACATTAAAAACTGCAGGCAAAATATACTGAACTACATCTATCCAACAAGTCATTGCCCCTGTTTGAAAGGGAAACAAAAAAGTATAAACAAGTACCAACAAATTGAAGATATTAACACGTTTTGTAAGTGCATTATCAAATAATTAAGAAATACTAGCAAGCAATTAGAGATCTTTTCTAAACTGAAAACCAGATTCATTCACTATTGTAACAAACGTAATTTATTGGGTTTAGGGTTTTACTTTGGAAAAATAAAAATACAGAATGAGTTACGTTATACTGTACTGATATCCCTCCCTTCCCCAACGCCACCCTAAGGTAACTTACTAAGACAGGAAATGCTTCAGTCACTGATCCTTTTTCTGGTAAAGATGAAAATTTGTAGAACTCGTGACTTCTATATGCTTTTTGTTTCACTAGCTGAACAGCATGAAGCACAAACTTGGCAGTCACATCAGCTGAACATGAACATACTGTCACTTCTAGATTGAAGAAATAAATTAAGTTTAGTTTCAGGAGCCAAAAATTTTAGAAGGCAGGCAGGATTTCACAAGAAAAACACTAGTTTCACAAGTAATTTGTAATTTAAGAAGTTACATAGTAGCCCAAGTGGCTCCATATGTGAATAATGCTTATGTATCAGTTATTCACAAAGACCCTTTCAGATTAAGGTAAACTAGATAAATTCAAAGATCAGTAAGAGAAACATGACTCAACTAAACCATGAAAATTAATCAGACAGTACAGGTGTATAAACTGAACAGGACAGACTGCTGCTGAATTCCAAATTATTAAATAATAGACTGAATAATCTAAATAATTAGACCGAATAATCTCACACAGGAAGAAAAAAATCTTTTTTTCCTCCTTGCAGAATTATGAGCTACTTGCCTATCATGAAGATCACAATTTTTTCAGGTAAGACATCTTTCAACACTACATCCATACACCTTAAAAACTAGGCAAATCTCAGACAGTAATATTCTTCCATAAACATGGGGCATTCATCCAGTTATGGGTAATCATTTCAGATTATATTTGCTCGTTTACAGAACACTGAAAATGAGGATTCTACTATACCACAAACCATGAGATAACTCAAAATCACTCCTCTAAGATCCTAAAATCAAATAAATATTTTATGTATTCATGGGTCAAATCCTTCTGTTCTTATTCAGGCAGTACTCAACATGATTCAAAACAACTTTGTCAAGTCTGACAGATGCAATTTTTTTATTTAATTACCATGGGCATTTTCCTTACCAGCCCACGTAGCTCCCTGTGGAACATCGATGAAGTGCCTTCGGATTTGACCAGGTTTAAAATGAACATCTGTGTATGTCAGGTCATAGCTTGATGATTCATCTACTCTGTATGCCAAAAAGAAAACATAAACAGTAATTAAAACAAGCTGTGAAGCCCTTTTTTTTTTTTTTTCTTTTAAAGTATTTGTAAATGCAGAAATAATCTCAAAAAGAAGTGTCCAATGAGGACATTTAGTCCTCAGCACCAATTACTTTAATCCATACTAGTATGGAATCTGACAGCACAATGTATCTAGAAGATTTTAAACATCAGCTCCGCCACATTGTGTAGACCACCTCCCTAAAGTTACTGTGCTTAAATATAAATATCAAAGAATCCTAGTTTTCAGTGGATCTGCTTTTCCTGACTGACTTTCCATGAAAGTGAGCTAAGGTTTGCAAGAAGTAATACTTCTGTGAATGAATCAAAGAAAAGTTACATTTTTTTTCTCAGGACAGATTGTCCACGGAATAGGTTTAATAAGATACTCTCCTTCTTTATCAACATCACTGAAGTTGTAAGTTTAAACCAATGGTGGGCACAATATTAACTCTAAATCTGCTGTATTAAAGTCATGGTGGAAGCTTATCCCCATGTTCAGCTGCCAAAAACAGCACTGCGCCTTTATGTCCACCTGTTAGAAATTAAAAAACAAACTCCTGCTGATCTATACCTATGAGCATACTGATTGATACTTTGGTCAAGAATACAGAAGTCATCTGTATTCTGATAGAGCCGGAAGCTGCTGCCACTGTGGCTAAGGCCGCCAGAACACACTGCCTTCTGGCTGCCAGGACCAAAACTACAAAAAAGCCACTGCTCTAGAAGTCTGCTGCGAGAATCTTTTCAGATCTCTGTTCCCTTATCAATGTCAGTAGTAAATTCAAGAACTCCCAGAGAAAGGTGGTGGTGAAATAAATGACAACAAGTCAAGCGTGTACAGAAAACTAAACTAAACTTTAAAAATAGACATAAAGCCTTGGTTTACTGACCTTGTTGGTATAACAACAGTTATTGGGACTCTGAACAGAGGGCCTGCATTAGGCATTGCTATATCATATCCACACACCTAACAAAATAAAATATAGCCACTTAAAATCTTTGGTCAAAATCAAATTACAGAAGACAACACAAACTAGTTGCAGAGTGTTTTGAATCTTTGTGGTTATTACTGAGGAAAAACAAAAATATTCATTTGACTACTTTCACCCTAGAAAGAGTAAAACAGCAACATTCACCAAGAAAAACACACACACATTAGTTTTCACACTTAAACTCATTTCAGTCTTCCCCCAGAAGTTTTCAAGCTTTCAACCCACATTTGATACTCCCTATATCAAAAGCTCAACCTAGTTTCAACTCAGAATTTGTCCCAAACAGCCTTATTATTTTATTTCAGATATTTTTGCCATGGTATTAAAAATATTTTAATCCTTGTTTTCCAGGATTATGTTTGAGAAAATACAGTTTGATTTACCATGTCTTTCATGGCCAAGCTTTAAATACCATCTCTGAAAATTTGTTCCATCATCACATTGCTAAAATGTTCTCTGTGGTACCATAGAAAACTTGTAACTAAGCATCTTAAGCAAGTCAATTCTAAAAATCAAGCAGATCTCATCTTCACTATGATCAACTACAATGCAATGGAAACATTTCCACGTTAATATTGTGTTTGGGATGAAGACAGAGTGCTGAAAAACATTTTTTGTTGGTGGGTTTCTTTTGCAGGAGTGAAAGAGGATAGTTGGGAGAGAAAATGAGGAATTTAATAGCTTTCATATTAAATTTGTCTGAATTTGAACGTAGCTGCTCAAAGACAGCAAAATGCTTCTGTTGTACACAGCCATTACCACACAATTTTCTCCTTCACCTTCCAAAATAGGATGGGGTAGCAGGGAAGAAACAAGAAAATGGGTTGCATCACTGTACCCAAGCAGCTCTTCAAGGTAAAGCAAAATCTTGGGTCTGTATAAGACTGCATGGCAACACCACAAAAGCTAGGCCAGTCCTTAAGCCACCACAGAAAGAGAGAAATATTTAAGATGTCATAAAACCACAAATCTCTATACTCAATAATAATACAGGACTGGGCCAGATAGTCAAAGGCGAAAACATATCCAGAAAAAAAACCCTTAAAGATTGGTTATTTATTTGGTTTCTATTTTCTATATGCTTTTATGATTTAAACACAGATACTCAAAGTCACATTGGCATGTGTTATACAACACTGTATAGCATAAATATTGCTGAACCCTGGACTCATCCTGTATATTGAAATGGAGTGTGGCAGTATTTTCTGGTCTGTACAGCACACAGCTTTTATTTACTTAAAAATTATTTCTATAAAAAGTTGATAGAGACCACATGAAAAGGAAAAGGCACATAATCTTGCTTAGAACACCAACGCTTCAATACCTCTGTATAATGTAGTCCTTCTCTCAGGCCACGTGGATCCACACGAATATTTATGTGTCGACACTGGTTCATAAGCTCTAAATGACTAGGACACTGGACCCATGGTGCATTTGAAGTTAACGCTAAATGAAGCTGGAGAGATATTCTTTCAGTGTTTTCTGTCAAGAAACAAATTTAAAAAACAGTTCAGTAACACAAATATGTGTTCATATTCTATTATAATACATTATTTTCCATTAAAACATACACATCAATAAAATGTAATAGGAACCAATTCCTTAGGGACCCTGGATGTCAGATTCTCCACAAAGGATAGTGTTCTATATTATTTCTTTTAACAGGATAAAAGTAGAACAGCAGCAGCGTACAGCAAAATAAAAGTTGTACCCAATGTTGAAATTTTCCCCCTGAAATATTCAAACCCAAAGTCAAAGTTAGGCTAGTAAGCAACGCTTCGGTTACCCACAACATAGTCCAGAAGCAGGTATAAACTTCCTGGTATAGCTACAAGGTCTTGACTAATGCAGAGAAATACAATAAAAAGCAATTGTACTGATTCTGAAGGTTATGTTAATTAACAAATTACATTATAGAGCAACCTAAGCAAGAGGTAAAGTCTATTAAAAAGTCTATTGCACAACTATTTTATTTCTTCGTGTCATATGGTAAATTTAAAAAGCATCGATTGCAATGTAACCTGTCAAACCACCAAGTTACTCTCAGTCAGTAACCTGTTCTGATTCATACCCTTTCTTCCCTTAAATAAACTCACCTCTTCTGCCACATGCCAACCTTCTCGGGGATCACTGGTTTTAGGAAAGGAACTAATCTCAGTACCAAGCTCTCACAAGGATCATTTTTGATTACAGTGTAATTCAGTCTCTAGAGAGTTCCAATTTGTATTTAATAAAGTAAAGCACGGCAAAATGGTTTATGGAGAAATGATGTCAAACTTTATTTTGATTTGCACAAGTTACTTTTACCCTGTTAGTAACTAACTAAAACCTGTATCAATTCATGTATTGCCTTTAGATAGATTTATGTTTATCCATTATTAGATGCTGAATGCAAGTCTAGTTTGTTAAACTAAGATTTTTCTTAGGTTGTGAAAACTTAGTTAAATTATAAATCTAGAATTTACAGTCTTTAAATAACTGAGAAATTAATTTCTGGGTAAGTTTCTTCATCTTTAGAAGAGTAACTATTCTTTGTAAAGAGTTATCTACAACAAAAATCCTGAAGCTCTACAATTTAATGAAACATTAGGGATATTTGAGTATCTTCTGGTATTTTTCCCTAGCCCTACAACTTCGCTTCAAATTTCTTCAGAACAAAGACAGATCCCTTTTTTCAGTGAGGAAGCATGAACCAACAGACTCCCCCAATACATGGAAGTGTTGCAATTTTAAGTCCAAGGTTAGAATGGAAAAGTTATTTAGTTGCATGCCTTCATTTACTATGAAATTTAGAGTTGCACTTAGTCCTTTTATGGTACAGATTCCTGTCACTCACCACTACCACAGCTTTTTTGTTTAAAGATTACACTTTATTCACCCCCTCCAACACAAAAGCTCTTTCCTACCTGTATTCTCAGGAAAGACAGGTTCTATGCCAACCCCATGATCAGAAGGTGCAGCTATCTGGGCAGGATCTCTGAGGTAGATTCCACGGTTGCTGCCAACAGTAACTGTAAAGCCTATGTTACTCGTGCATGCTGAATTCTGAATGAGGTAGTCATAGGCTTTATCAACCTGTTAGAAAGAACACATTCTAAATTTAAGAATTTCAACTTAGTAGTAATTTATGCATTTTATCTTCAATATGAAGTGTTCAGCAAGCACAGCAACAGCAAAGTAACTCATGCACTACCCGAGCCACACTGATTGCACCTCATACAATACTCAGTATAGAAAATGAGGCAACATTTTCAGTCTGCAACAGCCACACAGAGCACATTAAAATCAAGAATATTAAAAAACAAAAAAAGACAAATCTCTTTTGCTATAAATCCTTCAAAAGATGCATAACAAAAGTTTTCAGAGGTGACTGCAAGAACAAACGTCTTCAAAGGCCCAGACCTACTATAGTAATTCAGGTGCCTTTCTCATATGTGGAGCAACACTAGCTAAGCATTTAAACCTTTTATACAATAGAAGAAGTTGAGCAGTTCAAAAGAGACAAGTAATATAGGATGCCCATAGACATTTTATATATTGATATGAAATAAGAGAATAAGGTCATAAAATTCAGCCCCGGGTTTAAGCAGATGGGTTGTCACAGTAAACTCAGATGACAAGTTCACCTTTCTTGTTTTAAAAAGACACCCTTCTATCTCATTTTCTATTCTACTGACTTCAAAAATCTTACAGTCTCTTCTACTTAACAGTGAGCTACCTTCACCAGTGGAGATTAAGGCACTCTCCTTTGAGACATGTGGACATAAAACAGCCTCGGTTTCCCAGATCAGAGCTTGAACCAGGTTTTAATACATGCTTTAATCACAGACTACTAAATCATATGACTGGTGCACTTCATTTTTCTATGGCAATGTTTTTTATTTTATACAGCTATCACCATTGTTGCCTTCTTTATCAAATTCAGTGTTACAGACATGCTTAGCAGACATTACCTACTAGGTTCTGGCATCTTCAGAACATGAGTTTAGGGCTAAGCATCTGGTATCTTTAAGCATGAGAGCAAAAACTCAGTGCCTCTATTTGGCTATGATGGGAGTGACTGTAGGCAAAAACTAGCAGAGTTCTTTAAGAAGCTAAGCTTATGGATAAGGAAACTGTCATTCACTATGTCTTCATCATACAAAGGATCCATCACAGATTTCCAAGCTACTTAGAAGTCCCCAGGATACAGTGAACGCTCAGACCTTTCAGTGAGGCCCAGAGAAAAGACATCACACAACTGCAGCTGTACAGCTTTGTAAACCACCGTGGGTATTTCAGTATTTTGACTGCCCAGAATTTACAGTTCCAGTTTTTGTCTGAACAGAACAAGCTCAGCTCTTTCTGACAATATCATAAAAACATTTTTGGACATTAGGACAGAATCCAGGCATCCAAATCCACATGTGGGTGATAAAAACCCACATCCCCCTTTCACATCCACATACCTTTTTGATCAGTCTAAGAATGTGTCTAGTTAACACATTCATTCTATAGTAACTGCATGCTGAAGCTAAAAGAACTGTCTCATTCTTCCTCTCCTCCCACTACATTCCCTTCTTCTGCCTCAATCAGAGCTGAGAACCAAGTAGCAAGGGAACAAATCAAGTGAGCTCATTTAGAAAGCTGCTCTTTTCTGTGGGTTATTTTTCTACTGGCAGTTATTTATATTATTTTGGGGTTTTTTGCTAGCAAGTACCTGAATAATACCATGTCCTTGTGCAAATACTTCTATGTTTTCAGCTTTCACTGCAGTATTTTCTAAAGCTCTTCTGACAGAATGAACGGTGTAATGAACATCATTAGCTTTCAGTCCTGAAATTAAAAATAAGGGTACTATTTGATACAACAAAAAATTTGAAAAAGTTAGAGCATTTTTTTTTAAGAGGAAAAAGTATCTAATCTCTTTTAGACTACGCATCTGTATTTAACATTGTAGCACATTACCTGACAATACTAATGCAATGCCTCCACATGCATTGGGAGAAGACATGGATGTGCCATTCATGAGTTGTGTTCCTCGCAGAGTCCAGTTTGGAACAGAAGCAATAGCACCTCCTGGGGCACTGATACTTACGCCAAGGGCACCGTCAGTGCTAGTGTTAAAACAGAATGGTTGAAAAACAAACATTTTTTTTCTGCAAACTTTATCTTGAAGTTATCCGTGCACTTAAAATATTAGCTTTAAGGAATGAACATTCACAAGTATATTACTTCACTAAATCAATGAATGCATTAAACCCAAGAAAAAGCATGACACTAAGTAGCAGTTTAAAATGTCACATTAATCATCAACTATGCCTGTTTTACTCTTCAATACTCCTCATCAGGCTTCAGTTTAGTCAGCAGAGTATCTTCTGGGATTTGAATTAGAAAATGCATGCAAATCTATTAAATACTTCAATACATAATTTAGTACTCTATATAGCCTATTTAAAAGTAATTATTTTTAAAGAAAAACAGTAGAAGGGAGAGGAAGACTAGAAAAGGTCCAAAATCCAGATTTCTAATTTCACATGTTGCCACTTCAATACCAGGTCAAATTCTGAATTACCATACAGAACCTGAGACAAGGATAGCAAGGGCAGAAGCCAAAAAAAAGGAATGTCAAGGGGTGGATCAGTATCAGCTGGGCCTAGGCCACCTTTCTTTCTTGCCCAGACATATTTAAGAACTGAGAGAGTACCTATGGCACAGTTAGAGCAATATCTAGTTTTCAACTGTATATGCCAGATATACTGTATCTTCCTTGCTCTGGATAGATAAAAATTGCACCACTTGAATAGAGACAGCACTGTGCCAGAGCTATTAAGCTCTGTAGAGAGGTAGGGTATTTTAAGGTATTTATATCCCACACTAACTGCTTTGTATGCCTAAGATCTGTCTCGAATCAGAGTACTCTCAGTATGATACTGTATTATAACATTTGGACATATTTTATGACAGCCCTATATAAACAACAGGTTCCAGCCAAGCAGTACAGACAGTATCTGCCTGAAAGCCTCTAGACAGGCTGGTCCCCTACCTCAAGCTTGTTCTAGCAAAGTTTTAGGAACCCTCCAGTCACCTGCGTGTTGTACCCTATACAAGGTGAATCCTCCTGTGGCCAGATTTGGGCCTTTCAGCTGACATATGCTCATTCTGACTATTTTACAACGCAAAGTGACAAAGCACACAAAACATAGTTTTTATATATATGTGTGTGTGTATACATATATCAATATTAATTACAAATATTTCTCCCTCTCTCAGCTGAAGGCAGAGACTACATTTCTCTTTTCCCCACGTGAAACATGACAATTCTACATAATAAGATTCTGGAACAATATACCTGCCTGTAAATATACAAACATCACAACAGCTAACTTTAAAGACCAATGCTAATAGGGAAGCATTTGCTATGTAACCAGCAAATAAACCAGGAACCAACCTCAAGCTGTTTTCTCCTTCATCCAATACTATTGTAGGCCAAACTACAAAAGACAGTATACACTGACTTCATGACTCGCAAGAACAATTCTGAAGTCTAAATACAGTCAAGAACTCATGAAGAGACGTTATTCTTTGCTTCTTCTTTTGGCTACCACATTACTATCAAATGCTTGACATATGAAATAAAAATTGAACTTTTCATTGACCCTAATTTTTTTTTATAGATAATTGGGATAATTTTCTATAAGGTGAGGGAGAAAAGCATTTTTTTCTGCCTACTCACACCTCTACCGGACTCAAGTAAAACCCTTGAGTAAACTGCCATTACAGCAATGTCACTGAAGACACAAGTAACACCACTGCAGTAACAGTATTTCTTTTAATCTTCAACACTGTAAGAACAGTCAACTTCACCACACTAACTTAATGAAATAAATGTTATGGAAAAAAATCCTCTGAAAAAATAAATCAGAAACAGAACAAATGTCCAAACAACTTTTCAACAGCTTTTATCATCTCTGAATAGATTTGTGCTCACCAAATACACTTTCCTGAAACATACAGGTTGTGCCGAGGCAGTTCAGTGGTCTTCCTCCTCCCCCAGGAGTTCTAGAGCCCGACATACAAAGGCCCTCCAAGAACAGCAGACTACCTACGTTCTACCCATGAGAAACAAATACTCTTATTCTGGTATTAATGACCAACTTTTACATTTTGAATTACAGAATCTGAACCCCAAAATAATGAATTTGTTCTTTTAGTATAACCTACCTAGGCCCTCTAGATGACCAAGTATATTGATTTGCTGGCAGTTTTTCTCTTAAAGAGTATTCAGCAACCATCATGTCAGGTGATACATAGGCACCAACACCTGTAAAGAACATTCAAGGATTTTAGAAGTACAATGAATTTTTATTAAAATAAAAATTAAATATTTGTTTGAAATTCATTATGAGAAGAATTTTTGCTCAACATTTTGTGCTGGGTTTGTGTGTGTGGTGGCGGGGGTTTTTGGTAGCAGGGGAGGGGGCTACCACAGTGGCCCCTGTGAAAAGCTTCTTGAAGCTGCCCCGGCTCCAAGTCAGACCCATCTCTGGCCAAGGCCAAGCCAATTAGTGATGGTGGCTGCACCTCTTTGATAATGTGTTTATGAAGGGGAACCTGGGAGGTGGATGGGACATGTGAGGAGAACTGCCTCCTGTGAGAGGGACACCACACTGAAGCAGAGGAAGAATGAGAGGAGTCCTCCCCCTGAGGAGGAAGGAGCAACAGGACTGACCGCACCCTTTCATTCCTGTGCCACTGGGGGGGAGAACGTATTGAAACAGGGAGCAAAGCTGAGCTTCAAAGAAGAGAGGGGTAGGGGAAAGGTGATTTTAAGATGTGGTAATGCTTCTCACTGTCCTACCCTGTCTGTTAAGTGTTGCTGTTGTTAGTGTTTGAATTAAATCGATGTTCTTTTTTGTTCTCCTGACAAGTCTGTCTTTTGCCCATGACAGTAATGGGTGAGTCGCCCCTCCTTGTCCTTATCTCAATTCTGAAGGCTTTTACTTTATTTTTCCATTACTGAGGGGGAAGGAGTGAGTGAGTGAGCAGCTGTGTGGTGCTCAGTTGCCCTCTGGTCTCAAGCCACAGCACATTTAAAAATGGAAACACACATTTTCCATCTCATTAAATCCGGCTATTTTTACAAAGGAAGCACAAAGCACATGCGCTATGCAGTAACAACGCTGATGATCATGCTGTACAATATTAAAATATTATGTAAACTTCAAAGTTTCATTTTTATTTAACTGGAATAGGATGTATTCACCTCCTACATTTCTTTCACAACAGATCACTTTTACGCATTTCCACTCTCTACTGCTCCCCTTTGGTTGTGTTTACACTGTTACAAACTACACCAACCATATCTCAAACCAATTTATGTGAACTGGTTTATGTTCACATGGCTCACAGCTACACCACTTGGAGCACAGGGACACATCCACACAGCTCAAACACAGTGAGGAGACAGTGATTACTTTCCTGTAAATCTGTTCAAAGTGCCCAAAGCATGTAAATGACTACACTAAAGCCTGCTAAAACTGCATTTTTAGAACATGATGTGAAGGATGCAGATTGCATCCATGCTGTGTACCTATTCTAAAGTGTACACTCCATTTTCCTTATGGCATAGGCACTATCAAGATGGTAGACAACTACCATACCAATCTGACAAACAAATCTGGCAAGGTCCACGTCCATACCGTCTGTGTGAACTAAGTCAACCTGTCAACTGGATTTTGCTTTACCCTCAAAAAAACAACAACAAAAAAAAAAGCCCTATAGGTTCACTCCAAACAGAGGACAAGGAACAAGCTACTTTGCATGCAGAGTGAACGATCACCCAGTCTCTAGAGTGATACGACAAATAAGCTGAATTGACGGAGTAGATGCATTGTAAGAGCAAAGCCAATGCAGACCTGAAAAAAGATTGCTAGTTCTAGTTCCAGCCCCCTATCTCAGTAGCAGAGTAATTGAAGATAAAGTTTTAGAAAGTAATCAGCATAAATTCTACTAGCTGTCCCGAAAAAGTGTCTCTCCAACTTTCAAGTCTACATGCTAGCGTCCTTGCATGAGAATTGAGATTGAACAAGCATCTTGTGTGATGCAGTAATGCAGCAAAGGATTTATATAAAAATTAATACTAGGGAAGTTATCCCCAAATTCTAGACACTTTGCTAAATCTTATACCTCAACCTTTCAATGACATATCAAAAATATACAGTAGCTCATCAGAAAAAAAATGATTCTTATGCCAGTATAGACTTTCACAGAACTGGTACTGCAGCTGAAAGAATTAAATTTCTTTTTAAATTTAGTTCATCAATCAACTAGTGATCTCAGACATGTAATACAAGTACAGAGCTTGAAAAGACAGAAGTTGAATACTGTCAAATTTTTTTTTCAAAACAAATTATTTACCTATTACACTAGATGTAGTTCCACCAGGACATCCTACTGTAGAAAGGCAAGGGCCATTATTTCCTGCACTTGAAACATAGATTACATTGTGTTTCCACACTGCTTCATTAATTACTTCACAAATTCTCCTGATGCAAGAGAAAAAAAATTAAGTCATTTAATTAACCATACTGCTTTCTTCCCACAGAGAAAAACTCCCATTTCTAGTAGAATCTCTGTGACTAGTCACAGGACAAGGAATATTATATGCTGCCTGCTTCTCACACCTAGCAGAGGTGTTTTCAGTACAGAAGCTGACCACAAATATATCTTCAGGTTTTAAAAAGGAGTAACAGTTATGTAGCAATAGTAGGTCTTCAGAAAAACCCCACAGATTATGTGGTGTTGCAACTACAACAATTCTTTATTATTCTAAAATATTCTTTGTATTACGAAACAATAGCACTTTTGATAGATTTACATAACTTTTCAAGATAGTTAAAAGTGTGTAACCTGAAACAGTTTAATGTATATGAATCATTTGGGCCTGGACAATTCATTCTTACTGACTTCATTTACACAGAGCTCAACAAATGTTGTTCCACTTCTGTGACATTAAAATACTTTAAAATAACAACAGTAGTACTCACCCAGAATTTGGCCAATGTGTTGCCTCTCCATAGCTATAGTTGACAAGATCACATTTGTATTTTATTGCTTCTATCATCTGATAAAGAAAAAATAAAAGCCAAAATACATATTAGTCATAGAGTAAGTCACTTGAGGAATGGCAAAAAACATCTGCTTAAATTGATCTGCTACAGATCTAAGAAAAAGGGATAAATTTCTTTTGACTCTACAAAAGAAAATAATTTGATTTACTTCAATCAGTTATTTAAGTGGTATTTTCCCACTGAATAAACAGAATTACAAAAAACACTCCCTGAACAGTCTTATTCTTGACACATTTCAAGCTATAAATTAAGACATGACCCTAAGAGAAAGCTGCAGACATCATCAATATTGTTTCAAATGTCTCTCTTCAGTAACATAAAATTCTCCTTTGTGTAGTTTGGTTTAATTCCAAAGTCACAAAAACATTATTGTATATCTTCACGTTGCTATAGCAAGATATTCTATGGGCCACAAATATAATTTTCTGTTTTCATTTCCTTTTCTTGTGTAAAACTTTTCCCCATCAACTCACTATATGAAAAAGGTCCTGGGCCTTTCATCATCAAAAAGGAATGATATTTTTCCTCACTCTTAAGAAACAGAGTTAAAACAAATTCAGCCACATGGGTAGATACTAGTCTATTCTAGATTTATCTGATTCTATAGTTACTTGGATAACTATAAAAAAGATACACTTACAAGAAATAATAAGGAACTTTAAATAAGCACACAAGCAGTTTAGCCCATGTGTCAAGCCAGCCAGACAGCCTTCAACTTTTATGAGTATGTGCTCTATACAACAGAACTTTTGTTTTATAATAAAGAAATAGTCTTAAGATTTGTTTAAAAAATACTCTGGTTGGTTTTGGGAGGAATTGTTTGGGGGGTTACTTCTGTTTGGTCTGGATTTTTTGAGGGGATCTACATTTGGTTGTTCTGGGTTTTTTTTGTTGTAAAGATTCTAGAACCATAAAAACACAGCCTATAAGGATGTAGAGCAAAAAGCATTCCACAATATTCTACAACCAAGAGGCATTACTGAGATTAATTGTTTATTCAGAGAAATACCCACAGCTCTTATTAGACCAGTGCCAGTTTCCATTGTACTTAGTCTTGTATCTCCAATCTTGATTGCAAGAATCTGAGCTCCAGGAGCCACACCATTTCGTTCTGGTTCTTCTGGAAAGTATCCAGCTGCAATACTGGCCACGTGTGTTCCATGTGCTCCTGAGCAAACAAAAAGTTGTATCACTGTATGTTTAGTGAACTTCATTTATACCCATTTAATAAACTAGAGCTGAATTAATTTTTACTTATGGAACTATAATCATGTAATACCAATCAGCAGCCAGTCACAAGTGGTGTTCCACAGGGCTCCATACTGGGACCAGTTCTGTTTAATATCTTTATCAATGTATATTACCCTCAATGAGTTTGCAGATGACACCAAGTTGGGCTGGAGTGTTGATCTGCTTGAGCGTAGGAAGGCTCTACAGTGGGATCTGAACAGGAGAGATTGATGGGCCGAGGACAACTGTATGAGGTTCAAGAAGGCCAAGTGTCAGGTCCTGCAATTGGGTCACAGTAACCCCGCACACCATTACAGGCTTGGGGCAGAGTGGCTGGAAAGCTGCCCAGCAGGAAAGGACCTGGGGGTGTTGGTCAACAGCCAGCTGAATATGAGCCAGCAGTGTGCCCAGGTGGCCAAGGCCAATGGAATACTGACTTGTATCAGAAATAGTGTGGCCAGCAGGACTAGGGAAGTGATTGTCCTCCAGTAGTCTACACAGGTGAGGCTGCACCTCAAATAGTGTGTTCAGTTTTGGGCCCCTCACTATAAGAAAGACATCAAGGTGCTGGAACATGTCCAAAGAAGGGCAATGAAGCTGGTGAAGTGTCTAGAGAACAAATCTTATGAGAAGTGGCTGAAGCAACTGGGGTTGTCTACCCTTGCGAAAAGGAGGCTGAGGAGAGACCTTATCACTCTCTACAACTCCTTAAAGTAAGGTTGTAGTGAGGTGGGTGTCATTTTCTTCTCTGAGGTAAGAAGGGATAGGACAAGAGAAATCAGCCTCAGGTTGCACCAGGGGAAGTTTAGATTGGATATTAGAAAAGATGCCTTCACCAAAAGGGTTGTCAAACATGGGAAGAGGCTGCCCAGGGAAATGGTGGAGTCACTGCGATCTGGTACTTAGGGACACTGTTTAGTGGTAGACAGGGTAGTGTTAGGTTAACAGTTGGACTCAATGATCTTAAGGGTCTTTTCCAACCTAAATGATTCTGTGATTCTATAAAATGGGCCCAGAGTTCGAATCACTTCATTGTATTAGTATACTGGCTTTTTTATTTAATAAATGTTATATTAAACAGCAACAATCTTCAAAATAAAACAGCTTTTTGGAGGGACAAAGAAGGCAGCAAGCAGAGAGAAAGGAAGTATTAACTTCATTCCACTAACAAAAGTTACTTAAAAGGCTCAACATTTCCTCTTCAAAGATATGAAAATTATACCTGAGATGACTCAGGCAGTAGAGATTAAGAGAAAAATTAGAAATAAAACTGCATAATAGTATAAAAAGGAATCTCTCAAAAAATTCAATCAATTTAGAAACCAGAACTGCTTCTGTAGTTCAAATGAGATGGGATAATTTCATGGTAAATTAAGAGCATTTTTCAAATCAAATACATCCATACCACCTTAATCACTCAGGATGCTTCCAAAACAAAACATGATTATATAAAGCGTAAACAAATATGGGTTCAGAGCATTGAAGCTACAGGTATAGTGACACCTGCCATGACAACAAAGTTTGGATAAACCAAAATAAAGATTAACACCCCTTTTGCTCATGGATGTCCTTATTTAAGATTCCTAAATTATACATGCACAAAGGACAAGAACTTTAAAAAAAAAATATATATAAAAAAAATAAAAATCAACCATCACTCTATACTTAAACAAAACAAAAAAGGTACTTTGAAAGAAGGTTTTCTCTATTTTAGGCTTTAAAATGCAGGAACATCTTAAAGACTACCTAAGATACACATTTATGTATACATGCATACGAACACAAAGTTGACAATATTTCAGACAAAAATGCAAGCAAGGTTGGTAATGAGCTGCCATTATAGATTAGTTCAGGAAATCTGAATATTGATCTTGAATGCCATAGAAATGAATGCTCTATTAAGACAGCTGCTATGAGCCATCCCAAGTATCAGAATTGGGACCCAACACAAACTGTTGCTTCTCATATGTACTTGGCAGCAAAATTTTCTTAACATTACTTTAGTTTACCTCCACTTGTCACAATGGAAAGAAGATTTCCATCATCATATATATTTACAGAATAATTCAACATCTCAGATGTTCCAAAAGATCCATATTCCTGAGCCTCTTTGTAGGTCCTCAGCACTGTACAGCTAGCTAGGTCACCACTCTCACTTGTATCTATGCAGGCTCTGTTGACAAAAACAAAAAAATGGCAATTTTCCAGCTGCTGTAAACTTTTGGTTATCTCTTTCCTCCCCCCCAAAGAGTAGCACAAGGACTTTATGAAGTTTGGTTCTGTGTTTATGGTATCTTTAAGTCAATATTTTTAAATCTGGTTGTCTACACTTAGATTCAGAAACTGAGAATATTTCTAAATAAACTGATTCTCAAATGCTACTAAATTCAAATAAATCTGTCTTTGAAAAGCAAGCATATGGAAATTCAGGCAATTTCTTCAAGGAAGAAATTTTACTAAAGCTAGCCAATTCCATGCTGGTACAGAAACATTTGAAGTCTTACCCACTGTCTTGTATGATGCACATGATCAGTCAAGAAAAGTGCTACATTACATCTTGAAGTTTATGCAAAGACTTCGCTTTGGGGTTTTTTTGGTGTTTTTTTTTTTGTTTGTTTGTTTGTTTGTTTTCCTATAACCAATGGCTACTCAAAATAATTTTACTCTGCCTCAAAAATCCCACAAGCTTACACTTTATATTACTCTGTCTTTAATAAGCCTTCATTCTACCCCATCTTTGTTTGGGATCACAACTTTATTATGAAATACAAGTGATACAGCAAGATTACTTTAAAGCAAATAATATTTAAGACCTCTATAAAAAGGGTAGATTTAAAAGTTAGTCTTCAATGCAAGCTGTCGTTTTATGCTTAGAACAAGACATTTCAGACAAGTTTAGCCATTTACCTCCAGGTCTCACCATCATTCCATACTAGACAATCATATACTGGACCAGGATCACTGTATTTTTTCTCAAAAGAATTCAACAGTTCCACTTGATTTTGAAGTTCTTCCTTTATTAGCTTATTTACCTAATAAGGCAACAAATACAGTTAAGAGTGTTTCTAAAATTTTTAGAAGATAGGCAATCCTATATTCCTTTCTGATGCTATACATTTGTTCCGTTACCTCAAAAATGTAAGCTATCTTAGCATTCACAAACATCTAGAAATTCAATGGTCTTCAACAGAGCACCATTTATTTTTGGCCTACTATGAACAATTATTTCCAGTTTCTGTAACTGTAACATTAAAGTCCTGTATCATTTTAATATCTATAAAAAAAAAAAGTGACCTGAGGCATTTCTGGTACCTCACTGAAATAGTACCTAATTTACAAAATAAAGGATATGTTTAGAAGACTCCAACCTTGAACACAGCAAGAATGACAACCTCAAAAAAGAGCACACTAATTTAAAAATAAAACTTACTAAAAATATGCTATGAAGTATTTGAACTAATGCCTTTTTCATATTTGACAACAAGTTTAGAAAGTTAACACCACTAAGCAAAATCAAACGACCAATATACAGACCTTTTAAACTAATCAGAAGATACACTGGTAAGTAATCTGCCAAAATAATCACAAGTATATTTCCTTTACTCATCTAATAAAATATTTTAATTCTCTCAACCAGTAACAAATTGTTGCAAATAACAAGGTTACAAATTTATTTAGACTTATACAAACCTGGGAGGGAGAACTATGAGCAGCATCAAATTCTTCTTGTTTCCTACAGGCCTCTGCTAGAGCCAGTCTGTGCACAGGATCCCAGAGCTTTTCCTTGCGTTCTTTCTGTAAAATAAAACCAGGTTGCTTAATATATTGACAAACATACATGTCAAAAGTATGAAAACTACAACAAAAATTTGAAAATTCCAATTTAAGACATTGGCTAAAAAAGTTCAACACAGTACTATAAATAAACATTAGTTGTTACACAGAAAAAAGGAATGGGTATCAGTAATTTCTACACCTTCTGCCTCAAGGGACCACTGTGAGATAGACCACCAGACCATCTTCTGTTGTTCTGAAAAATCACAGTAGTAGTGAATCAGGTCAAAACTAAACAAAAATCAGTGAAAGGATAGCTCAAGTGCTGGCTGGCAGCCTATGTGTGTTAGCAAATCTCACATTATAGTTTCCTTGAAAAACTCAGTAATCAGAACCAGTGAAATATGACTATACACCAGAAGCAAAATGTAATTCCTTACCTGAATCCTCTCCTTAAGAGCTTTAGGATAGATATCATAGCCGTTTTTTATGCCAATGTGATATTTGCTTGAAGGATTTACCCAGTTTGCTGGAATCTACAGAAAAGCATATGCAGAAACAGATTAACTAATTATGTTAAAAAAAAAAGTTAAAAAAATGAACACTGTGTGAGAAAGTTTAGCAGAACAGAGTTGCAAACATCACCAGTTTAATTCCCTATTTCCATGATGGCAACTACTGCACTAAGTTTCAACATGACATCGCAATTTCAATCCAGTTCCAATGGAATCTAGTCCCAATTCATGTGACACCACCATTGAACATGTTTAAGTATCATTTGCCCTGATACTCTACTTTTAAACCATACAGCTCCAGCAGTGACTTTATTGGGTAGAGGTCTGGAGAAATAATAGTGCTATAAATGAAAAGCAGCACCCTGGCATGAAGAGGTACTACAGTTAAAGGTCATGACAAGCATCTGAATGTCTAATTTCATTATCTTGCTGCAGTTTAGACTCTCAGCCTATCAGATCCATGAATCCTAGTAAAAAGAGCAATAGATTTCACCCTCACAACCATATTTGGTGTGAAATTCAGAAGTAAGCTGGTAGCATGGAGAGATTCAAAGATTTGATGCCCTTACATCACCTCATCAATCTAACCAGCCAATCAAGAACATATCAGCAACATCAGCAGTTCTATGTAGCAAACTTCTAGAAGATCTCATCACATCCTTTCTGAAAACACTACACCGTTTCTGTTCTATTCATAGTGAGAATGCAGTGAGCCTACATTTAAGTCCGCACAGATTTTTCAGCCTCTAGAACCATTCACCACAATTCCTCTTATAGTTCACACAAATGTGGAAAATACCAGCACTTTCAAAGACAGAACTGTCTGATATTTTTAAAGCATGTTAGCATGCCTTCTTCAGCCGGCTTCTAAAACTGTATCAGTTACTAACTTGAAGAAATTACATGATTATCAAGACCCCAACAAAGCTCTGTACACGCCTCCATTCAGCTATAGAGATTATCCAATATGAAGACATATGAAAAGTAAAAGAAATGTCAAGCAATCCATATGAAGATGAGCACATGCAGTACTGGTTTTGAATAAGACCTGGTTAAAAGGAAGTAGGTTCTGAAGAAACAGAAAAAAGGTGCTAAATTTGTTGTTAAACAAGAAAGAAAAAAAAATGTCCATTGGTATGTCTGTCTCACCAAACGCTCACCTTTAAAGTTCTTCCAGAAAGACCAGTAATTTCCCCATCTTTAGGTTCTACAATGGTACATGTGGTTACATCACCACTGCCTGTTGTATCAATTATATCAATTATCTTGGGTTTTCCATCAGTTGTAATCTGAAAATACGAGCACAGAAAGATTGAAAATGTAGTTGATTACCCTTTAGCATACAAACCAGGAAATTTTTCATTTTTATTAACAAAAATATCAACAAACTTTCTTAAGCACCCAACCTTTAACTGAAGGACATAAAACTAACTTGAAGTTCGTTAAATTTCCAATTAACTAAGAGCACTGTGTCCATCTTTCTGTTTTATACAAATTCACTAACTCATTTCTAAAAGGGATTTAGAAGAGAAACAAGTAAAAACATTGTATCAATAAAGCACAGGCACCACGCCTCTATTTAAAACCATGACTAAATTTGCAAAAAAACTACTGTTTGTGTTCAAATGATTTGCTGCATTGCTGCCATCCCTCCATTCAAGACAAATTTTACAGTAATGAGTGCACAACTCTAACAAAATGTTGAAGTACATGCACTCACAGGCTTAAGTCTCTTAACTGAGCTTAAACCTAAAAGGAACACAAGTTACCATCATCTTATTTTTCCTGTTTCAAGGATTCTGCTTCATGTTTTAATCAAGCTGAAGTGTTAGGAGCTATGGCTATATATACCTAACACTATATAAGTAGTATTTTTACAAGGGTGAGGAGAAAGAGATCTGACAAGCTAAGAGTTGAAGAGTATAAATTTAAAGCCGCCTCAAATCAAATGAAAACTAGTCCTGATGGACTTTACCCTAGTTGCAGGCAATGAAACAACATAAACAAAGAAACCACCAACCTACCTAAAGTTCCTTTCACCTATAGGAATCTTATACAATTATACAATTCCCAAGAGTATGATTAACATGTTTGGGTTTTTTTTAATATTTAGCAAAAATACTCGGTTATCTTCTTGTAATAACATGCTTCATCTAGTAGGTATTGTACAAGTTTATTCAGCAAATAAACTATACTCCATATACAGCAGTATTTGCTTGAAGTGCAATATAAATTCAGGGGGCTGGAGCATCTCCCCTATGAGGCCAGGCTGATAAAGTTAGGGTTGTTCATCCTGGAGAAGAGAAGGCTCTGGGGGGAGACCTTATAGCGGCCTTCCAGTACTTAAAGGAAGGCCTGCAGGAAAGCTGGAGAAGAACTGTTTAACAGGGTCTGTAGCAACAGGACAAGGGGTAATGGTTTTAAACTAAAAGAGGATAGATTCAGACTAGATATAAGAAAGATATTTTTTATGATGAGGATGGTGAAACACTGAACAGGTTGCCCAGAGAGGTTGTAGATGCCCCATCCCTGAAAACACTCAAGGTCAGGCTGGACGGGGCTCTGAGCAACCTGATCTACAGACGTCCCTGCTCACTGCAGAGGGGTTGGACTAGATGATCTTTAACTGTCCCTTTCAACACAAACTATTCTATGATTCTACAAATTAGCCATATGCACCTGTTTTTACAGTTCTACATTAAAGATTGATTAAAAAAAAAGAGAAATCAATAATCTCCTCAATATCTCCTATCCACTACACTGAAAGTGAAAAAAGTTTCTTGTTCAGAAAAGCAGCGTATACTGTTTTCTACCATTTAAATATTTGGCATCGTTGCCTTTATTCTCTATCAATAATTCTGATGCTAGACCAAACATATATGGCAGGTAGTTTTGTGCAAATCATGCTCTGGAATTGTGAATTCAGCTGCTGGAAGTTAACAACATGATCAAGCTGTTTCATGAAAGTCACTCTGCTGCTGTCAAAAAAACAGGGCTCAAACTTTTATCACACCTCAACAAATAAAGATAAACTTCCAAGGTCTCAAATTCTCATGGTTATAAAAAAAAAAAACCCACAAACACACCTCCAAAAAAAAAAACCCACAAAAACTCCAAAGCAAACAAAACACCCCAAAAACTCAAACAAAAAAACTCCCCCAAAAATAAAAACAACAGGCAACCTCCCCCCAAATAAAAACAGGCTTAAAGAGCTGAAAAAAAAGAATCAAACCCCAAAATCCCAAGCCCATAGCAACTAGAAAAAGGACACTCATTTTATTTCCCAGAAGGTAACAAATGGTGCTCTTGAAGAGGCTTGCTAAGAAAGAACTTCCATTACAGAAGCCAATACTGTTACTCTGTTCATAGAAATTCATGTTCAGTTCAGAAAACTGTTAAAACAGTAACCTGTTAAAACATCTACTGAACAACAGTTACACAGTAGTGAAAATTTACTTGGGAAACACAGTGCATAGGCACCTAAACCATATAATTTTCTAGTGTTTGTAATTAACGTCTTCAAATGCCAATCTCCACTCACAGAAAAGTCAAGATCTACTCCAATAATAAAGCAACTGCAAGCCAAACCCGAGATTATCAGAATTGGACATTTCTCAATATGCCTCTAATCAAAATGAATTATTCAGTGATCAAAGCACAAGAAAACAAGAATAAAAATGTAATCCAAGGTGACGTGTTCGAAGTAGACAAGTTATACTGCAAAAGGTGGGCAGAACACAGATTTATGCTGTAGCGAGCTTGGGTAGTTTTAAAAGTCATTTCCTAGCCAGGAAGACAATGTGCAACTCCTACACTATGCGGCTCTTTGCCTCCTAGCTGAATAGCCAGTCCACACACGGACGTGAGTTTGCACAATTAGAACCAACAAATCGGAGTCTTTCAGTCAGACACAAGAAACTCAGAGTTTCAAGAACAAAGGTCCAAGGTTCAATTCCTAACGGCAGCGATCCAGACAGGTTCACGGTCATTTAGTGCAAGTAACTGATAGGGCTTCTTCGGCTGACATGAACTGTTGTTTGGCATACTGCCCACCAGTAGCAATGCTACAGTGAAACTCAGAGTTCAACTGGGTTTTCCTTTTCAAGTCTTGTAATTCTGAGGAAGAAAAAAAATAATTAAAAAAAATAATCAAGTGAACTGATCAATTCCCTTGTGTGAACAGAAAAAATCCTGAAGTAATGCATTTATTACAGTGAGAAGGTACGTTTTAGTACCTTTCACACTAAAATTTGAAAAATGAAGAACTTTTATACAATCAAAAATATTTTATAGTGTACTTATAATAAAATCCCCAATCCTACCTTTAATATCATGGTTTGCCTACAGCCATTCGAAAAAATAAAATAGTGTAATAGTTTAAAACTGAAAATTATTTTGTTGCTTCTATAAGAAGTTTGAAAACCATACTTTCATGTTAGCACTGACTTTGTAAAACAAATCAGTAAATTAGGAGCATGAAAAAAAAACTATGTGCATAATCCTGGCATCTGACCAGTAGAACAGAAGTAGAGGAGCACCGGTATCTGTGACAATCCCATATTAAAAGGCCAAGACAGATGTGTTTGAGGATATTTTTGCCAGACCATACAACGTTACTGATTTCAACTGACAGCTATTGGGGCAACAGCAGATGAACAAGTTCTTCAGCACTTTGGTCTTGGGACAACTGATCATCATCACAAATATAATAATTTTCAAGCATTTTTTTTAAAAAAACTCAGCGCTGAAAAGCAAGTCAAACCAAACTAGCTGCAACTGCTAGAAGGCTGTCTCATAAAAGTACAAGATAATTTTAGTAAACATTACAGGCACTTCACAAAATAAGCAGAATTGCAAGAAGCAGATGAACTGACTTGCCTATTGTGAATCATAACAAGTAGTGACAACAGCAACAGGGAATGGACAGGGAGGGGTTAAACAAAGGCTATGCATACATAACCACAATGCTCCATACCTTATCTGCCCACCTAAAATTTCATCAGTTGCTGTGCCTTAATGAGGAGTTACAAGCCATCACGCCGCAGATAATTTGATATAGATTCTACCAAGAGACCTGAGAGGGGAAAAAACTAGGATGAAAGAAGCCGACAAATGGAGTGTTAGAGCTGGCATCAACAGGTAGAGTGTATAGAAGATGAGATGAAGAGTTCCCTAGAGGGCACTGGTTACAAAAGATTCAGAAAAAGGGAATTAAGTACAAGTTAGATTAGCATTTTGTATGGCAAAGCAAGCCAACCAACAGAAAAATTAAATTGACCTAAGAAGATTTGTTAAGCCCAGTAACTATTCTCTCTATAGCTGCAAGTGTCCAGGGAAGAATATAAACACAATGGTACCTCTCTGTTATACTCTGTCCCCAAATGTTTTTGTCCCTCAGCAAGCCATCCTACACCATATATTTATGGTATCAGTGTTTACAAACTGAAGTACCACATCAACAATCAAAGGAACCCTACCCAGGAATGAGACACTAAGGACCAGCAAAACATCAACTGTTTTGTTTTGACTAAAAAACCCACTATACTTAAAACAGGGTAGTTCATTTGGGCCTGTAATCATTATTGACATTAACTGGAACTCAAAGTTGTAATACTTATTAACCTTGCTACATATAATGCCTTTTCTTCCCTCTAAGCAACTGACTCAGTTCTCATAGTTCTAACTCCACACCAGGCCAAGAACTGATGATAAGACTGACGGTACAAAAAAGCAGTAGCAGCAGAGCGGTGCATTAAAAACAAAAATAAAACTGTCCCAAGGTTGGAAACTACTTGTCACAATACAGCTACGCTGTCACACTGTGCCCAGGACACTGTTTTAGTTTGTGGAGGCAAAATGTAAACTGCCCAATACTCCAGAGTGAGGACATCCTTTTCCTGAAAAAAACACTTACAATTCTACAGAGTGTACCCTGCCTACATCTCCTCTATAATTCCCTGTGTCTGTGCAATAAGCCTCCCTGTTCTCTAGTTTAGCAAATAGCCTAAGCTAGGTATATTAAGTGGGCAGTATGGAAAGAGCACACAGCTTCTTTATATGCTTCCCTGGCATCCCTGCAAACTCACTCTCATCCATTGCAAGATTAACTCTACAAATCCCCCTGCAAAGTTGTCTACAAATCTTTTACTTCATTACCTGAAGTGTCACTCTCCACATAAAGAATATAGGGTGAAGAAAACTGGTACGGTCAACACTAAGATCATGAGGGCTCATAAGTATCCCTTACAAGACTTGGGTTACCAATCAAAACAAAGCTTCTCTCCACTGCCCATAATCTCATGCTTTGTTTTGTTGTTGACCACTCCTCATTTATAACCTCTAGATATTAAGGTTTTTTGCTATCATATGTGAAACTTCAGAACAATGCACATCCCATTTATAGTCCCATCTTCCTACTTGTCTTTTACTACTTTCTGGTCTGCCCACGGTATTATGTTGTCTGCTTTTTGGCTAGCTTCCTTTAAGCTTCCTAATCACTATTCCACTTACCCACAACTTCTTGCCAAAAGCAACAGATTCATTCTGGCTTAAATCAATCGAAGTTACAGCTGTCCAGTACCTCTACCTGTCCTCTTCACTCATTCTTTCACTTACCTGAACCCCATAAAGAGTCATTTCAGAACACCGAAGTAAGGATCTGACAGGGTTAGGTCCCTGAACTAGGTCACTTAGGAGTAAAATCTGTGCCAAAGAAAGGGCAGAGACCAACACTGGCCTTGCTTAGTTAAAAAAAATAAAGGATGCAGTATCCAAGCAAGTCGCATATAACCCCCTCTGAAACATTTCTCAGGGCTTCCTTTGCACATCTCAAAGAAAACACGCTGACAAGAAACTGGAAGCAGTAATGACATAAAAGATCACATACAAACTTACATGATAAAGAAACGTAAAGAGACAAGAGTTAAAAGAAATAAGGAAGTGTTGAGAAATGCCAAAATTAAAATCACATACACAAAAGTTTACAAAACTGAGATTGAGCTCATAATGGCAATCACTGTGCCATCTGAGCTACAGATAGCAGATCCAAAAAAAAGCTGGCAGAACCAAATTTGATACAGATTGTTATTGCAATACAACGCACAAAAAACACACTGAGAAAGAGGAGGTATACAAATTTTGCCAGAAATACACTTTTCACGTAAAATATCTAAGCGGCTCTTTGTAGCCCCAAGCTACCTACCGCTGAGGTAACGCTGAGGTTTAACAAAAACACAGAACAGTCTTTCATAACGAGTTCTACGCGAAAGAAGGCAGCCGAAGAGACTTAAGCACCACAAAACGCCCGTGAACGGCCTCAGAGGAGGCTCCCTGCACCAATACCCGAAGCGACCGGCCCCTGTCTACAAGACGCCTCCGCCCCCCGCTCTCCGTACCAGCGCCCACGCTCACGCGAATGCGTGCTCAGTGGGAACCGCAAGGCAAACAAGGGCAGGTCCCCACGACAGCCCTTCAGCGGCCTCCCCTGCGCCGCTCGGGCCGCCCGGGGCCCGCGGCCGCTCCCGCCCCTGCCCTCAGCCCCGTCCCGCGGGTGCGCGGCCGCCCCCCGCCCCAACGGCGGCCCGGCAGGGCCCGGGTGCTCCCCCCGCCGCTCCCTGAGGGCCGCCCGCCCGCCGCGGCCGTGACTCAGGGCCGCCCCTACCGCCCGCTACCTGCATGCCCGGCGCCCCCGGGTCCACGCCGGTGTCCAGCACAGCCAGCAGCACGCCCCGCCCGTCGAAGTCGGGGAAACGGGCGAGGAAAGCGGCGGCGCCGGTCTCCTTCTTGGGCAGGAGGCCGTGGAAAGGGAAGGGCTCCTCCGCGGCGGCTGCCATGGCGGGAGGGGGGGGGAATGGGGCCGCGCGAGACCAGAGCGCGCCCGGCGGCGGCAGGACGGGGAGGCGGCGGGGCCGGGCGAGGCCCGAGGGAGGCGCATGCGCCGTGCCGCCCCACCAATCGCGCGGAGAGACGCGCCCCCTCACCGCCCGCGGCGCCAGAGCGCGGCGGCTAAACCGGCCAATACGACCGCGCGGAAGGAGGGAGGGGGCGGGTAGGGAGAGCCAATCAGAGGAGAGATGTGCTCCACGTGCCGGAATCCGGGGCGGGGCGGGGCGGCCACGTACGGCGGCGGGGCGTTACCGGGCCGGGTCTGGGGGCGCTGAGGGGCGGGGGGGCGCTGAGCGCCGCCTCGGGGGCTCGGTACCGGCTCAGGCTGCTGCCCGCGGCCTTCCCCCCGCCCCCCACGGCACCGCTGAGGCGATGTGCCAGTGCTGCAGAGCTGGGGTGGCGGGGCGCGAAATCTTCCGTTAACAGAATTGGAACCGGTGTGCAAACGTTAAATTTACGATTTTTTTTTTTTTTTTTTTTTCCCGCTGATTCATGGTCCGGGATGAAACCCGCGGTTGCAGCGCCTGCGGGAGCGCTCGGTTCTCCGTGGCTGCTGTGGGATGGCACGGCTTCTGCGGTGCGCTACATGCTGATGCTCGGGCAGATGTTTAGCAAAGAGGAGGGTAAAAAAAAAAAAATATAAATGCAAAGACTATCTAAAGGCTGCGACGAGCTCCAAATGAGATTTCTGGTGAAGTAGGTGCGGGAAAATCTCAGCTTCAAAGCGAGGTTTTAAAGGTCACATGGGTCATGGTCACATAAACTTGCAAAGAAAACTGAACTGTCGAGTGTCTGAAATGAAATACACGGAGGGCGTCATTTAAAAAGTTATTTGTTGTGGCTTTTTAGCCATTTTTACCAGCAATAAGGGTACGAACTGCTTACTTGGGTATGACTTTGCCTTCTTTAGGCAAGTTTCTGGTCAGAGAGTTACATACGGGGGAAAAGATTTAGTTTGTCTGGATACATTAACGTGTAAATCAAAAGATATTTTGGCTTTTGAGAATTCTTTGATTTGTGTAATTTTTTTTTTTTTGTTTCATGGGCCCGATGAGTTTATTACTGAAAGTTTGTCACGCATGAATCTTCATTGAACTAAATTGGGCATTTCTTCTTTCTTGGCAGAAATGTGTGGGGTTCTGCTAGGAAATAGTGGTTTATTATGCATTTTCCCCATTTTGTGAGTTACCATCAGCAATGTCTTTCGGCTCATCAGTGGCTTTAGAGATCTAAAGAATTTTTATGCAAATAAAGTACTAAAATAAACCTGAAGAGCACTGACTTAAAAATATGTATTGTAAAAAAAAAAAAAAAAAAAAAGTCAAAGCTGTATCTTATATGCTTACTGTCTAACTCAGAGTCTGCTTCCTTATTTGGCTTTCAATCATAAGTCAGAATTTTACATTTTGATGTCTAGATATGATGTGCTTGACTTTCTTAGAATACTGCTGGTGTCTGGCAGCCACATTCAGATTTTTTAGAATTACGTAAAACCTTGACTGATCTTACTTCAGGGGAGAGAATTATTCTGACAAGGTGGTTATTCACTTGTTTAATACCTAATTCACTGCCCATTTGAGTTTAGTTTTCCTTCTGTGTTATCATTGCTAACGCATTGCAATGGGAGAGGCTTGTATTTCTGGCAGCATGTTGAGATCAACAGAAGTCTAATATATTTCTAGTATATTTTGAGACATTAAACTACATCAAGTGCTCCAAATATTTTATATCTCATTCAATAAATTAGCTGCATGTTACAATTTGGTAACAGTTATTACTGGCCCTGAAAATTTCTGCTCTGTTCTGTTGTCTTGGTCTTAGAGTTATACCACGAACATCTCATCTAATTAGCAGGTACATTAATCGTACAGGTATGTATAACTCAGTGATGTGCACTGCCAAGTAGCAGGGCAGGTTCTGCAGGAAAAATTGGGATTTGAGGAAGGTGCGCCCAACACCTTTTAACAGGCTTTAAAGCAATACCACGAGAGAAGAAAGAAAACCTTATTTTGGTCACAGTCATTAACACATAACCATATTGTATTAATTGTAGGAGTACAGCTGCTCTTTTAGGACAGAGAATTAAGGTTGTGCATCTTACCAAGCCTTTGCAGATCTGAGATTTTTAGAGTTTTACATTCCATTCTGAGCTGCTCAGGTTTCTGATACTTAGTTGGCTTATAGAGCTTGTTACAATACTTCTGCAGTATGTTTATTTTATAATGATAATATGCACGCTCAGTATTGATTCCTCTTTCTGTAATAAATAGAGCTTTATTTTGCTCTGGGTAATAGTGTAGCTGTTCCACAAAAGTAAAGGCAAAAGCAGAGCTGCCATGTTGAAAACTCAGAAGAAGAGTTTGTCACAAAACTTCTTGAGACAATATGGTATGATCATTACAGTGATGATTTAGCCTCCCTCGGGATCGAAGTACGTACAGCAATTCATCTGGGTTTGCTGTGCTAAATAGCTTCACATGTCCATATTAGGAACCATTTCAGCTGTTTGTATCCACATCTGGGGCCTGAGCCAAAGTGAAAGAGTAAACAACTGCTGCCGCATCCCAGAACTCTGGTTTTCAAAGGTGCACATGATTTGCAGATCCCTTTGACAGCGTTGAAAACCAGGGCTGCTCACTGTCCCTAACGATCATTCTTCTACTGTGAAACAGGTTTTAGGCTTGGAAAGGTCTAAATGTCTACAGACGGAGAGATTTCCATGGGCACGGGAGGGAGCATCCTGATTCAGCTCTGAACACTCCCAATACGGGTGTGCTTCTAGGCCTGCTTCTGAGAACCAGCAAAGTTCCTCCAAAGGGCCTGGCAGCCCTGGGCAACTCCCCACCTTGCTCCCGTGAGAGGCCTGTCAGGACGCAGAGTCGAGCCAGCGATCCCTTTTGATCTCACGTGCAGCCCCAGCGCGCTTCAGGTAGAAGGTTGGGGATATTTGCTGTGTCTTCTGCTCGGTGTTACACCCAGAAGTCGGATGCTGGGATTCAAATCTCTTTTCTGTCTGAGCTTGCATCTTTCTGCAAACTAAGTGCTCTAGCTGCTGCAGGCTTCTCTCCGAGTCAGGCGTTGCTGTTTTGCATGGAAGGATCCCAAAGTGAACAGGAGACAACATGACCTCATATCTTACTAGTGCGGGCGTTGACATGGCTGGAGAAGTACTGGGATTTTCATTCTCTAATTAACACCAAATTATTATATGCAAAACACCAGTTGGAGTTGAGCACGAGAACTCTTTACGTTTCAGTTGCAAGCAATTACCTTAGTCACTGTGTTACAGATTTCACCCACTCAGGTCTTATTTCAACCCTGCCTCAGTTACAACATGTTGAGAGGAGGAATGAACGTACCAGTTAGACGAGGAGAGGAGGTGTTTGATCAAATCACATTGGGCTAGGGAGGCACTTCAGTATTCTGAGTTCATTAATTACTGAGGTGTTCAGCAGAGACTCCTCCTTGTTCCCACTTTATGAGAGAGGGTTAGCTTCGGTACTTAACTTCTAAGTTACAATGGGAATAGATGATCCTTGAATAAGGTGGATGTCAAGATGTACTTAATTCCTGCCGTTGCCTGTTGTCTCCCTTCCCTCCACGCTGGATCTCGTTATTCCCGTGTAAGTATAAATCAACACAAGTCACCCAGAAGGAACAGTTTCCCATTGCCAGCCTGATCCTTGGCCATTCACTCATTCTGCTTGCTCAGGCACTTGTGCTGGTGTGGCTTCATGTTGGAGCAGATCAAGGGATAAATCTGTCTGAAAGCTATCCCATGAAAGCAATTGGGAGCATTTACCTGAGATGGGTTCCTGTGCCACCTCTGTCATGCTTGTGCTGGTGCAGAGTGGAGATGGTCCCCCCCCAGCACAGCACTCCCCCGTTAAATGGGCCACAGGACTCGGTGCTGCACGAGGAGCCCTGGCCACTGCACATGGTCCACGGCACAATTTGGCAGAGAAGCTGAGTTTATAGAATTTAGATTTGGCTTACCAGGCCCTGTACTGAGACTTCCACAAAATGCCTGGGTAGCTACAAGCCTGTGTCAGTTTTTTCGTGGATCTATTTCATAAAGACTTTCAGAGACAGTTCAATCCTAGGACTTTTTTCTTTGATTAGGACAGGAAGGTTTACCATGGATAAAGGTATCAGATCTACTCAGTGAGCACTTTGACACTCTTTCTTCAGAGGCAGAAAAACACATACCCATCTTCAGTTTTGATAGCAAATATTCCTTCCTGGACAATGTATCCTCAGCTTTGTTTTCATGAAGTTATTTACTGAATTGAGTCTGTTTGCCATGTTAGTCCCTTGAAATATATAAAATAAGATCATTGTATACATGTAAAACCATGAGATCATTAGTCAACAACAGTTGTCTGCTACTCTCTGGCATAACTGTATTTTAAATATGCCTGTCAGAGTTAGCAGAGGCTAAAATTAATGAATTCTTATTGTTCTTTGTCACAGACTCTTGAGGCCCAGCTAATGGTTTTAGGCTATACTGTCATTTACAAAATTGTTAAAAATTGTCTGAAATTATATCTATGTGGAGAGCTGTTCATATATTGCTTTAAACACTTACTGAATAATGCTGCTCTGAGAACTGATTAGTCCTGAAAATTCAAGAAGATAGGGTTCATGTAGCAAGACACTGGCCTTCAGCAAAAAGCTGCAGCTGACGTTCAGTACCAGTTGAACCTCAAATATCTAGTCATCTTCTGTGGCAAAATTATTAGTAGGTTTGCTTTTTAAAAACATATTTCCTTGAGAATAAAGACACAAAACCAAATGCCATACTCACTTTTTATCTTCAATGTAACTAATGAATGTTTTACAGGTTTGCTTTTTTTTTTTGTATAAAGAGAAATAGAGAATTGCACCCTGTGACAACAAATGCCTACAATGAAAGAAGGCTCAGAGGAGATGTGCAAGAATGATGAGCTCAAGGGACAATATAAGGAATGGCCAACAACTATCGTAAGGAAAGCTGAACTAAGCATGAAGGATGTTCAGGGT